CCCAGAAAATCTTTGGAAAGACTTGAAGATTACTGTTCACTGCCGCTCTCCATCTAACTTAACAGAGCTTGTTCAAATTTGCACGGAAGAATGGGAGAAAATCTCCAAATCCAGAGCTGATACAGACATACCCAAGACTACTAGTATGAAAAATGTATGCACTCACTAACTGTAATGACTAAAATAAAAAAATGTACTCAAAGCTGTAATCACCACCAAAGGTGCCTTTACAAAGTATTGACTCAAGGGTGTAAATAGCTATTTATGTACTAAAAACATGTTTTCACTTTGTCATTATGGGGTAGTGTGTAGATGGGTGAGAAAACAACAACAATTGAAACAATTTTGAATTCAGGCTGTAACACAACAAAAATGTGGAATAAGTATGAATACTTTCTGTGAAAACGTGCCTTTTTAAATTTTGTCCAACTTCACTAGCTAATAGCCTAGTCAAGGATGCATCATGCAATATAGGGACACTACACTTTACAGACCTAGTGGAACAAAAGTAAACCTTGAATTTTGAGTGGCCAAGTTGACCTATTTTAAGGGTCATGAACATCAAAATCTTGTTTTTCATGAAATTTGGTGATATTTGAAGGAAACCAGATCAAAGTATGATGACCAAATTATGAAAAATTACTGTTGCTTCTACATTGATAAAGTTTGATCATAAAGTTACTGGTCCCCTCCCACATGTCACCTTAACTCTCATTTTAATACACCAATGGTAACATGATATTCGTTTACCTAATTTAAATAAGTACCACCTTGTAAGCAACATCGGAGAAGACGTGTTTGCAGAAGGGCATGGTTTATATACAGTATCTCACAAAAGTGAGTACACCCCTCACATTTTTGTAAATATTTGAGTATATCTTTTCATGTGACAACACTGAAGAAATGACACTTTGCTACAATGTAAAGTAGTGAGTGTACATCTTGTATAACAGTGTACATTTGCTGTCCCCTCAAAATAACACAACACACAGCCATTCATGTCTAAACCGCTGGCAACAAAAGTGAGTGCACCCCTAAGTGAAAATGTCCAAATTGGGCCCAAAGTGTCAATATTTTGTGTGGCCACCATCATTTTCCAGCACTGCCTTAACCCTCTTGGGCATGGAGTTCACCAGAGCTTCACAGGTTGCCACTGGAGTCCTCTTCCACTCCTCCATGACGACATAACGGAGCTGGTGGATGTTAAAGACCTTGCACTCCTCCACCTTCCGTTTGAGGATGCCCCACAGATGCTCAATAGGGTTTAGGTCTGGAGACATGCTTGGCCAGTCCATCACCTTTACCCTCAGCATCTTTAGCAAGGCAGTGGTCGTCTTGGAGGTGTGTTTGGGGTCGTTATCATGTTGGAATACTGCCCTGCGGCCCAGTCTCCGAAGGGAGGGGATCATGCTCTGCTTCAGTATGTCACAGTACATGTTGGCATTCATGGTTCCCTCAATGAACTGTAGCTCCCCAGTGCCGGCAGCACTCATGCAGCCCCAGACCATGACACTCCCTCCACCATACTTGACTGTAGGCAAGACACACTTGTCTTTGTACTCCTCACCTGGTTGCCGCCACACGCTTGACATCATCTGAACCAAATAAGTGTATCTTGGTCTCATCAGACCACAGGACATGGTTCCAGTAATCCATGTCCTTAGTCTGCTGTCTTCAGCAAACTGTTTGCGGGATTTCTTGTGCATCATCTTTAGAAGAGGCTTCCTTCTGGGACGACAGCCAGGCAGACCAATTTGATGCAGTGTGCGGCGTATGGTCTGAGCACTGACAGGCTGACCCCCCACCCCTTCAACCTCTGCAGCAATGCTGGCAGCACTCATATGTCTATTTCCCAAAGACAACCTCTGGATATGACACTGAGCACGTGCACTCAACTTCTTTGGTCGACCATGGCGAGGCCTGTTCTGAGTGGAACCTGTCCTGTTAAACCGCTGTATGGTCTTGGCCACTGTGCTGCAGCTAAGTTTCAGGGTCTTGGCAATCTTCTTATAGCCCAGGCTATCTTTATGTAGAGCAACAATTATTTTTTTCAGATCCTCAAATGGAAGGTGGAGGAGTGCAAGGTCTTTAACATCCACCAGCTCTGTGATGTCGTCATGGAGGAGTGGAAGAGGACTCCAGTGGCAACCTGTGAAGCTCTGGTGAACTCCATGCCCAAGAGGGTTAAGGCAGTGCTGGAAAATGATGGTAAAATATTGACACTTTGGGCCCAATTTGGACATTTTCACTTAGGGGTGTACTCACTTTTGTTGCCAGCGGTTGGCTGTGTGTTGAGTTATTTTGAGGGGACAGCAAATTTACACTGTTATACAAGCTGTACACTCACTACTTTACATTGTAGCAAAGTGTCATTTCTTCAGTGTTGTCACATGAAAATATATATATTTACAAAAATGTGAGGGGTGTACTCACTTTTGCGAGATACTGTAGCTAGATAGCTACTCTACTTTACTAAAAAACAATTTTTCTCTCTTTTTGACAATTTTAATGGAAAACTATCACAGTAAGTTACTAGATTGTTACCCAAAATGGCTGCACTGGGCAATGGTAAATAGTCAATGGTACAGTGCATTCAGAAAGTATTCATACATATTGACTTATTCAACATTTTGTTGTCTTACAGCCTGAATTTTTCTCACCCATAACGACAAAGTGAAAACATGTTTTTAGATTTTTTTGCCAATTTATTGAAAATGAAATACAGAAATATCTCATTTACATATGTATTCACACCCCTGATTCAACACATGTTAGAATCACCTTTGGCAGTGATTACAGCTGTGAGTCTTTCTGTGCAAGTCTCTAAGAGCTTTGCACACCTGGATTGTACAATATTTGCACATTATTCTTTTTAAAAAAACAGGTTATCCTCTAGGATTTTTCCTGTGCTTAGCTCTATTCCGTTTATTTTTATCCCAAAAAAACTCCCTAGTCCTTGCCGTTAACAAGCATACCCATAACATGATGCAGTCACCACCATGCTTGAAAATTTGAGAGTGGTACTCAGTGATGTGTTGTGTTGGATTTGCCCCAAACATACCACTTTGTATTAAGGACATAAAGTTAATGTCTTTGCCACATTGCAAACCGGATGAATGGTTTGGAAAATGTGCATTCTGTACAGGCTTCCTTCTTTTCACTCTGTCATTTAGGTTAGTATTGTGGAGTAACTACAATGTTGTTGATACATCCTCCGTTTTCTCCTATCACAGCCATTAAACTCTGTAACTGTTTTAAAGTCACTGTTGGCCTCATGGTGAATCCCCTGAGCAGTTTCCTTCCTTTCCGGCAACTGAGTTAGGAAGGACGCCTGTATCTTTGTAGTGACTGGGTGTATTGATACACCATCCAAAGTGTAATTAATAATTTCACCATGCTCAATGGGATATTAAATGTCTGCTTTTGTTTTACCCCTCTACCAATAGGTACCCTTCTTTGCGAGGCATTGTAAAACCTCCTTGGTCTTTGTGGTTGAATCTGTGTTTGAAATTCACTGCTGGACTGAGGGACCTTACAGATACTTGTGTGTGGGGTAGTCATTCAGAAATCATGTTAAATGCTATTATTGAACAGAGAGTCTGTGCAACTTTATTACGTGACTTGTTAAGCAAATTTATACTCCTGAACTTATTTAGGCTAGCCATAACAACGGAGGTGAATGCTTATTGACTCAAGACATTTCAGCTTTTAATTTAATTAATTTGTAAAAATGTCTAAAAACATAATTCCACTTTGACAGTATGGGGTATTGTGTGTAGGCCAGTGACTCAAAATTTAAGTTTAATCCATTTAAAATTCAGGCTGTAACAAAACAACATTTGGAAAAAGTCAAGGGGTGTGCATACTTTCTGAAGGCACTGTAAATGTGTGAATAAGACTCACTTCCACCTCAGTTCTTACTTTAGAAACCAGCAGAACTAAAGCTTGAATGAGATTGCATGAGTAAATCCTATAACCAAGACTGAAACTATTTAAGGCCAAGGATTAGCGAGGCTTCTCTGGGTAGGGGAAAAGAGGTTGAGGTGTCTCTATTCAAGGAATGTGACAACAGGGTTTTAGCTGTAAGGTTACTGCTGCAGAATACTCATATGGTTGGTCCCAAGCAGTGTGTTATGAATAATTATGTCAGTTTGATGACAATTTTGACAATTTGCAACAGGGTAAGCATATATAATGTACCTTTTTTCAGACAATTGGGTGTCTTTGATTTTATTTTTGTTTTGGCCTTTCTACAAAAGCTGTCTTTGCTCTTTGTTTGTTATACACTGTACAAACATTTGCAATAAAGATGATAGCCATTGTCCTGTATCAACACACTCTTTGAGTTATCGTTATCTGTTTGTCACAGTTTAATGGAAACCATGTGGGACAATTAAGTTATATGGATAGCAAGCAAACCTGATGACATCAGAGCACAAAGTATGACTGAAACCATTGATACTAATAATATAAAATAAACACTGAACTAGTACCCGATGTCACAGGAAGGCCAAAAAGATCATCAAGGACATCAACCACCCGAGCCACTGCCTGTTCACCCCGCTATCATCCAGAAGGCGAGGTCAGTACAGGTGCATCAAAGCTGGGACCGAGAGAATTAAAAACAGCTTCTATCTCAAGGCCATCAGACTGTTACTAGCACATTAGAAGCTGCTGCTGCCTATTGAAATCACTGGCCACTTTAAGAAATGGAACACTAGTCACTTTAATAATGTTTACAGTCACTTTAATAATGTTTACATATCTTGCACTACTCATCTCATATGTATATACTGTATTCTATTCTATAATATTCTACTGTATCTTAGTCCATGCCGCTCTGTCATTGCCATATATGTATATTTTCTTAAATTCCATTCCTTACTAGTTTTGTGTGTTTTAGGTATATGTTGTGAAATTGTAAGATATTACTTGTTAGATATTACTGCACTATCGGAGCTAGAAGCACAAGCATTTCACTACACCCGCTATAACATCTGCTAAACACGTGTATGTGACAAATAACATTTGATTTGATTTGATTTGATATGTGAATTTTTTTATTTTAAAAAGTGGTTCAAGACTACATCATACAATGACAATTAGTAAAGTATCCCATACCCTTGTACATTCAGATACACATCATTTGCTTTGGTTGATTGGCGTCCTCTTTGGTAACAGCAAAGTTCCCCAACTGCTAGAAGGGGCTGGCCAGTGACGGTTGGTTTGTTTTTGTTGTTGTTGTTGAACATGGTTTTATTTACATTCTTGTGGAATTCTAGTCCTAAGATATCCCTCTGAGTAGTTAAAGATCAACTGCTTTCACAGAAACCTGCAATGGAGGAATAAAACATGTTTACAAATACTGCATATAATGAACTTTTAACTGATATTTGGATTCCATAATAGTTCATCATACACACTAGCTTCCAAAAGTTAGACCAAAAGTTGCACAATCACTTGTTGCACAATTGTTTCTTTAGAAAGTATTACTTTTCATTTCTAAATTGAGTTACTACAACTCTTACCAGTGTGTCCAACACGTCTGTATTTGCCGAGTAAGCAGATCTCCTTTTTCTTGTTTGTGACAATCTTCTGGTCCTCGGGCCTCAGGCCGGTGGGGTGACGGGAGAAGATGAAGGAGTATCCATCCAGGCAGGTGCCGTCCAGGTCAACCTCTCTGCAGGAGTAGTGGATGGCATAATTGTCGTAATCGGTGTCAATGACCCAGTGGTCGTCGTCTATGTGGAGGAGAAAGGAGACAGAATCATAGAAATGGTTTAACAGTAGGCTTTGACAGCAGGCAGCTTCATCAATGGCATGCTATTATGTACAAATGAGGAAGAGTTAAGTTATTATCATCAACGTGTGTTGGAGCAACTCAATGGAATATTCTGCACAACAATAGGAGATTTTAGTCTTTCTTACTTCCAGATTGGAGGTATGAAGCAGCGCCCCAGTATCTCATCTTGAACTTGGCAGGGTCTGGAGTGTCCTCGAAGGTGGCGAACATGTTGGCACACATTTCCCAGTTGCTAAAGGGAGGAAAAGTGGAGGACAAATGACTAAGTTCAGTGGAAGTAAATGCATAATGAAGTTTATGAGGTTTGATAAACAATTTGGATCATTTGGAAGTAAACAGAACTTACTTCAGGATGATAACTCTGCCGTGGGCAGTTGCAGTCATTTTGCCACTTTCATCTACTGAGAACTGCGTAATGACATTGTCCAGGAGGAACAGACCAACAGGATCCTTCTTGGCCACAGCATACCACCTACCAGTATACTTCAAGATGAAATGAGAGCTCTATCAATCCCTGCATACCATACAATGACATTCCAGTTCCATTCTACAAAATTTAACATTCCAAGGCTGATAGATCAAATGGGACAAGAGCAGAGATACTTTATGAAAAGTTACGTTTCTGAAATTATAATTTTTGGGGGGTATTTTACCCAATTTTTCTCCCCAATTTCATGGTATCCAATTGGTAGATACAGTCTTGTCCCATCGCTGCAACTCCTGTACGGATACGGGAGAGGCGAGGGTCGAGAGTCGTGCGTCCTCCGAAACAAAACCCAACCGAACCGCACTGCTTCTTGACATAGTGCCCACTTAACCCGGAAGCCAGCCAGGAGTCGCTAGTGTGCGATGGGACAAGAACATCCCTGCCGGCCAAATCCTCCCCTACCCTGGACGGCGCTGGGCCAATTGTGCGCCACCCCATGGGTCTCCCGGTCGCAGCCGGCTGCAACAGAGCCTGGACTCGATCCAGGATCTTTAGTGGCACAGCTAGCACTGCGATGCAGTGCCTTAGACCACCGCGCCACTCTGAAATTAGAATTGTGTTCTTACCCTGCTCCTATCGAAGTTCTGCATGACCTGAATGTTTGAAACTTGACAGTCCTGTGCCCAGCATGTCGCCAGGACACAAAGGGCCACACAGATCCTCAGCATGTTGCCTTGTTGATGTATCTGTGGAAGACAGAGCCCACAGTCATGAGAAAATATCACTACATTACCACCAGTACATCCCATCAGGTCAATAGAAAAGCCATATCCCACTCCATTACAGCTTCACTCTAAAAAGGGTGCAAACTAATCCAAAATATAAAAAGTGATTTTAAAAAGTAATTTATAGTAATAATTACATTAAAATAAAGATCTGCCACAAAACCCCAAGCGGAGTACATGTAAAACCTACTATCCCTTTCTATGCAGTACATACCTTGTCCAAAAAAAGGGCTGAGGTGCTTCAAAAGGTGCTTTGCCTCTCCAGACAGGGTTTTTTATAGTGTAGGGTCTCACTACAGCCAGGGTTGCGTAAGAACAACTGCAGATGTGAGACAGCCCCCAAAAAGGAGCCTCCCCTCAAATTGGGCAAACATTACATAACTCCAACCAAGACTCCCATTTGTCCTGATGTGAAATGCACATTTGACCCCAGTCCCAAACATGTGTTTTTGCTGCCTTATGAAAGAGCTGTTGTGGGTAAAGTCAAGAGCACATCTGGAAAGCTATACATACTCACTATCAATCACTAACTGTGAAATGTTTTGCTTCAGCAGCACAAGCCATACGTTAATGTCCAGACTTGTTTCAGCTCACTTTTTCCTCTGGAACAGCTACACTATGTTCTTTCTGGTTATTCTCATGTAATTTCTCCACTTTTCTTGACATTTTTCACTTTTCACTGGAAAACCATGTTAGGCAATCATGTTACATATTTTATTGCTTTATGTCAAAGACATCTCTAATGGTTGCTATTCTATAGGATAGCCTTTGGAGAAAAAAACATTGACTTCTAGTTTGCTATGAAATCAATATCAAAGAGAAAAACCTTGTAGTTCAACCCAAAGTCCAGATCCTCTTGGATTCCTGCCACTCGATCAATGCTGATCTGATTACGGTGAAGGACCTGACTGTTTGTGTTGTGTGTTTTCACCTGAAATCTCAACTCATCATTTGGAACTTGGAACAGAGAATGCAGTGAGTGATCAAACAGAATTAATCAATTGTTGTATTCCATTGATCATACCATGCCAGCAAATTCCATAAGATATTATAAAGGCTCATACATGCTAATAAGTTATAAAGCATTATACCTATAGGCTTTATGTAAAGTGTTATGAAATGGGCATATACAGTAAATGGGGTGTGTACCTTTTTGGCCACAAAACCTTGATTGTGGCATAAAGCTACCAGGGAGCTTTCCAAGTAGACATTTGTTTTTCTTTCTAGGATTGTATAACCGCGACTCAGGGGCCCAGCACCCCAGAAAAGGACACATGGAAAAGCCAAACATGTGCATCTTATGTAACTTGACACGGCTAACCGCAAAAAGCATAATTTGTTGCCCCAAAGAATGGCTGGAGTCAGGAAAGAGTTATCATTTTTATCTTCTGGATATGTAATATAATATTCCAAACTAGATATATACAGTATCTGTAGGGGGCAGGGCAAAGCATATTGGAAATGTTTTGTAACTTTATGAAGTAGTACACCCCCAGCTGTCCATCAGGTTGGTTACAGTCACCTGTGAAGCTTGTTTACAACCAACCAAAACGATCTCCGCCAAGCAGCATCAGATCAGGTATCTACAGTGTAGGAATGTGATGATGGGAGAGGGCTGATTAATCTGACATAACTCCACCCTTTCACACTTCTAGGCAGGTTTTCGGTCCTGTCAAGTACAGATGTAGGATCTTAATTTGAGCAAATTTGCTACAGCAGGAAAATAATTATGCAGCAACAGGAAATGTGAATTATTATATGGATTATAATTAATGGCCGTTTTTGTAGAGGTTGATACATTTTTCGTTAGGGTAGATCAAGTCTTAAATTTCAAAGTAGGAATTACAAACTTTTGAAGCCTTTTAAATACTCAAATACACTACAAGTTTGCATTTCCTGCTGTGCACGAAAATTCTCAGCAACAAAAGAGTGATTAAATTAAGTTCCTACATCTCTACTATACTGCAGGTAGCAGATGGTGGTTTTATATCAACACAAGTCACCTGGCTGGTGTGGTGGGGCACCCCAGTGTGACAGCGCAGGGCATACAGCATGGCCTTTCTGGACACAGTGCCACTTGTTTTCCACATGGAGGCTGGTGACCCTAAAATAACTGATAAGCAGCAGCTGATTCACACACTACTGCAATGAGAGGTTTTGAAGGAATGGGATAGCTTCTTGAACACATCCAAATTGATTGCAGACTTTAGTTATCCAGTCTATGAGTGTCTAATGTTGTCTAACACTTTGCCACAGTGTCTCCCCCCAAATGTTTCCTTTTTAAAAAAACTAGGCAAGTCAGTTAAGAACAAATTCTTATTTACAATGACGGCCTACCTAAAGGCAAAAGGCCTCCTGCGGAGATGGGGCTGTGAAAAATAAAAAAGTTGGACAAAACACACATAACGACAAGAGAGACACCACAACACTACATAAAGAGAGACCTAAGACAACAACACAGCATGGCAGCAACACATGACAACACAGCATGGTAGCAACACAACATGACAACAACACGATAGCAGCACAATATGGCAGCAGCACAACATGGTAGCAGCACAAAACATGATACAAACATTATTGGGCACAGACAACAGCACAAAGGGCAAGAAGGTAAAGACAACGATACATCAAGCGAACCAGCCACAAGTGTCAGTAAGAGTGTCCATGATTGAGTCTTTGAATGGAGAGGTGGAGATAAAACTGTCCAGATTGAGTGTTTTTTGCAGCTCGTTCCAGTCACTAGCTGCAGAGAACTGAAAAGAGGAGCGGTCTAGGGATGTGTGTGCTTTGGGGACCTTTAACAGAATGTGACAGGCAGAACGGATGTTGTATGTGGAGGATGAGGGCTGCAGTAGGTATCTCAGATAAGGGGGAGTGAGGCCTAAGAGAGTTTTATAAATAAGCAACAACCAGTGGGTCTTGCGTTGGGTATACAGAGATGACCAGTTTACAGAGGAGTATAGAGTGCAGTGATGTGTCCTATTAGAAGCATTGGGGCAAATCTGATGGCCGAATGGTAAAGAACATCTAGCCGCTCGAGAGCACACTTACCTGCCGATCTATAAATTACGTCTCCATAATCTAGCATGGGTAGGATGGTCAACTGAATCAGGGATCGTTTGGCAGCTGGGGTGAAAGAGGAGCGATTACAATAGAGGAAACCAAGTCTAGATGTGTTCAAAACAATGTTAAGGGCAGAGAAAGCTTGTTGGACACTAAGAAAGCTTCCTCAGTGTGATAACATTGTTGTTTGCTTATTTGTCTCATTGCAGCCAGCAACATTATTCCCACATGGCTTTCTCCATGAGATTAACTCCTAGGTAGGGTGTCCATGTGACTAATCCATTCCACTGTGCCAGGCCAGCCCCCGTCTCTCTCTGTCTCTCTCTCTCTTGCCCTCTCTCTCTCTTTCAGGGAGGACATCCCACGAATCACTTTTACTTAATCTGGGATTTACACTGCCAAGTCCCAGTGATGCAGCTATTTTATTGGCCTGTTGTCTGACTTTGATTCAGTGCCTTGCTGTGTTGGCTGGGAGAGAGAAATACCCTTTGTACCCTGTTCCAGGGGTAGGCAACTAGATTCAGCCGTGGGATGATTTTTGTCCAAGCGGATGGTCTGGGGGCCGGAACATAATTATAATAATAACGCTGCAAATTGACCACAAGTAAACACAAAAAGAGATTGTATTTGAAAATAACAATCATTTCATACCTTGGTTACATTGAGACACGATCACATATTTGTTTTTGTATTCATTAAGGATCCCCATTAGCTGCTTCCAAGGCAGCAGCTACTCTTCCTTGGGTCCAGCACCATTAAGACAGTTATATACAGTTTAAAATATTACATGACATTACATTTCATAACACTTTACCCAATTAGTATGTTCCCTCCCACCACTACTCCACTATCACATATTTACAATACAACATCCAGTGTGTGTCTTATCATGTGTATGTGTGTCTGCGCCTATGTGTGTCTCTTCACAGTCTCTGCTGTTCCATAAGGTGTATTTGTATCTGTTTTTTAAATCTGATTCTACTGCTTGCATTAGTTACCTGATGTGGAATAGAGTTTCATGTAGCCATGGCTCTACATAGTACTGTGCGCCTCCCATAGTCTGTTCTTGACTTGGGGATTGTGAAGAGACCTTTGGTGGCATGTCTTGTGGGATATGCATGGGTGTCCAAGTTGTTTGCTAGTAGTTTAAACAGACACCCCAGTGCATTCAGCATGTCAACACTTCTTACAAAAACAAGAAATGATTAAATCAATCTCTCCTCCACTTTGAGGCATGAGAGACGTACATGCATACTATCGATGTTAGCTCTCTGTGTGCATTTAAGGGCCAGCTGTGCTGCCTTGTTCTGAGCCAATTGTAATTTTTTGAGGTCCCTCTTTGTGGCACCTGACCACACGACTGAACAGTAGTTCTGATGTTACAAAACTAGACCCTGTAGGATCTGCCTTGTTGATAGTGTTGTTAAAAAGGCAGAGCAACGCTTTATTATGGACAGACTTCTCCCCATCTTAGCTACTGTTGTATCAACATGTTTTGATCATGACAGTTTACAATCCAGGGTTACACCAAGCAGTTTAGTCACCTCAACTTGCTCAATTAACACATTATTTATTACAAGATTCATTTGACGTTTAGGGTTTAGTGAATGATTTGTCCCAAATACAATACTCTTAGTTTTTGAAATATTTAGGACTCATGTATTCCTTGCCACCCATTCTGAAACTAACTGCAGCTCTTTGTTAAGTGTTGCAGTGATTTCACTCACTGTAGTAGCTGACGTGTATAGTGTTGAGTCATCTGCATACATAGACACACTGGCTTTACTCAAGGCCAGTGGCATGTCATTAGTAAAGATTGAAAAAGGTAAGGGGCCTAGACAGCTGCCCTGGGGAATTCCTGATTCTACCTGGATTATGTTGGAGAAGCTTCCATTAAATAACACCCTCTGTGTTCTGTTAGACAGGTTACTCTTTATCCACAATATAGCAGGGGGTGTAAAGTCATAACACATACGTTTTTCCACCAGCAGACTATGATCGATAATATCAAAAGCCGCACTGAAGTCTAACAAAACAGCTCCCACAATCTTTTCATCATCAATTTCGCTCAGCCAATCATCAGTCATTTGTGTAAGTGCTGTGCTTGAATGTCCTTCCCTATAAGCGTGCTGAAAGTCTGTTGTCAATTTGTTTACAGTAAAATAGCATTGTATCTGGTCAAACACAATTTTTTCCAAAAGTTTAATAATGGTTGGCTATTTGAGCCAGTAAAGAGGGCTTTACTATTCTTGGGTAGCTGAATTATTTTTGCTTCCCTCCAGACCTGAGGGCACACACTTTCTAGTAGGCTTAGATAAAAAATATGGCAAATAGGAGTGGCAATATTATCCGCTATTATCCTCAGTAATTTTCCATCCAAGTTGTCAGACCCCGGTGGCTTGTCATTGTTCATTGACAACAATTATTTTTTCACTTCTTCCACACTCACTTTACGGAATTCAAAATTACAATGCTTGTCTTTCATAATTTGATCAGTTATACTTAGATGTGTATTGTCAACTTTTGTTGCTGGCATGTCATGCCTAGGTTTGCTAATCTTGCCAATGAAAAAATCAATAAGGTAATTGGCAATATCAGTAGGTTTTGTGATGAATGAGACATCTGATTCAATGAATGATGGAGATGAGTTTGCCTTTTTGCCCAAAATTTCATTTAAGGTGCTCCAAAACTTTTTACTATAATTCTTTATGTCATTTATCTTTGTTTCATAGTCTAGTTTCTTCTTCTTTTTATTCAATTTAGTCACATGATTTCTCAATTTGCAGTAAGTTAGCCAATCGGTTGTGCAGCCAGACTTGTTTGCCATTCCTTTTGCCTCATCCCTTTCAACCATATAATTTTTCAATTCCTCATCAATCCACGGGGATTTAACAGTTTTTATAGTCATTTTCTTAAATGGGTGCATGTGTAACAGTGTTGCTTGCTTATTAGTAACTGGAATAAGCAATTTCATAAATTAGTCAAGAGCAGTGTCTGGTTTCTCCTCATTACACACCACAGACCGACAAATATTATTTACATCAACAACATATGAATCACTACAAAACATATAGTATGACCTCTTATACACTATATTAGGCCCAGCCTTTGGAACTTTGGTTTTACTAGATATGGCTACTATATTGTGATCACTACATCCGATGGATTTGGATACTGCTTTAAAGCTAAAAAAATAAAATAATAACACTCACGGGCCGGATTTGGCCTGAGGGAAATCTGTGGCCGCACCTGCCGTAAACACATCCTGAGGCAGTCTTAATCCCACATGTTAAATTAGACAGGGCAACTCTCCCTGTCCTGTCTTGCCAGACAGTGTGATAGGGTAATAAAAGCACACCTATGTTTTGGACCATCTTTCTCAAATCTCTGATTCTCCTCACTTGGCAAGGCTTCCAGATTGCCCTATGAGGACAGTGAGATTAAGATAATTAAGATCAAATACTTCTCCCAACATTGTGGACATAATGCTGTAGGTTTATCAAAGTTTAGTGAGGTGGTAATCACACATCCATAAAAACACTTGTGTCTAGGTGTCTTTTGTTCTGCAGTACGTTTATCACACCTGATCCGTACCAAGCCTAAAATGGGCTGGTTAAATACATTATAAAGGGAACTGTTTTAATTGAGCTCTTTTTTGAATTGCTTCACTGATGCTATTACTCACTTGGCTTCACTTGGACTGTAAATATAGCTTAGGGTATTCTTATAAACACAAATCACTGTGAGAGAGAGTTCTGTGGCTGGAATGTTTGCTTGGAACTTTAGTGAGGAACTGAAGAATTGTTCTTCAAGGTCAACTGTCCAACTATTTCCTACTCAGTGGGTGGATAGTCTATTTGATGAGTCAACCATTTTGTACCAAAATGAACTTTCTATACCACAGCTGCAGTAGCAGACAGAGCTCCAACAACCTGCCTCCCTTGCCTCCGATTGGATTGTCCAATATAAAATGATCTGTGTTGGGATGAGCAGGTTAAGAAAGCTTAGGGCTTTAATTTCATGACGTCACGTTAATTAGAGGACACTTTGATCCTTTCAGCCTGTAAGCCACTACATTCTGTCTTTTTGTAGCGGAGTACAGACGTGTTGGTGATTTGTCCGGGACCACAGCAGAGGATGCACGTTGGCGCAAACAGAGGCCACTAACTACCCACCTTTTACACTTCCCTTTCGACTTTCCCGGGTGATGCGTCTGTAAGAGAAGGGAGGGAAACGCAAACAATTCAAAATGGGAGACAAGGATAGTGTGGAAAAGTACCTGGAGAACAATCCCCAGTTCGCCAAAGAGTACTTTGATAGAAAGGTGCGCCCCGAATTGATCGCGACAGCGTTCACAGAAAATCTCGAGATCAAAGATCCGACTTCGTTCAAAGATGTTTCCCAAATTCAGGAGGCCAACATCATCTTTGACCTGGTCAAAGAAATGCAATCGCAAATCGTTATGGAAAAAGCAATGCACAAGGTCCTGCAGAGAGTTTGCATGCTTTTGAACGCCGACCGGTGCAGTTACTTTGATCTTCGATCTAGAAACGGAATACCTGAGCTTACAACGATGCTCTTCAATGTCACCCCTACCACCAAATTCGAGGAGAACCTCGTCAACCCCACTGCTGAGATTGTGTTTCCAATCGATATGGGTGTAGTTGGATACACAGCGCACTCCAAAAAGATGCAAAACATTCCGGATGTTACAAAGGTGAGTGCCATTGTCAGCAGGTGCCAAAGCGCGTATAAAATGTGTACATGAGAAGCCAAAGCGCCCATAAAATGTCCAAAAGCAGTCGCAATTTACACACAATTGTTCTTGTCAGATCTAAATTCATAAAATTGTCATTTGTTTCACACATAAGTTATACATTTTAACTGATGCAGATTTGAGAAGATAATTAAAGAAATATAAAGTGTTCATGCATGTCTCTAAAAGCCTAAGCCCATGAAGTTTAATGATTCTTGTCTGTCTGCTATTTTTGTTAAATTCACTTGAAGAATTTCTTGAAGGTGTTGCCTAATAGTTGTCTGGCATTGATGTTTTGTTTTGTTTATTCCATATGTAACTCTGTGTTTGTTGTTTTTATCGCACTGCTTTGCTTTATCATGGCCAGGTCGCAGTTGTAAATGAGAACTTGTTCTCAACTGGATTACCTGGTTAAATAAAGCTGGAAAAAAAATAAAATATTATCTCAGTCCAGAAGTCTGACCAAGGCAAACTTCATGGTCTGATTAGGTCTACAGTAAACTCAACTTCAACAAGTATCAGTGAAATTACATGCATGATGGAATGAGGGATTAATTCTAAATGTTAATGTGGACCACTTAGTTTCTACAATACAATTACGATTTTAATGGCTATTATTCCTCTGTGTAGTGCAGAAAATGGCTTTTACCTCCAGAAGCCATGCAACTGTCATTATCTGGTTGATTTGCTAATTGATTAATTGAATACATTCATTTATTATATATATTTGTATTATTTAGTTCATGTCATCATGATAATGTATTGTATCATATTCAAAACATAAATGTCCAGTTGTATGATTACAAAGCTGTTTGTTGATGTTAAACTATGGATGACTGAAGAGAAAGCAGGTTGACGTTTATTGTCATGAATCTTGCCCTGGAGGCAGAACTTGACGATTTATTTTAATGGGCCAGCTGCAAAGTCATAATTGGCTACATCGTAAAAATTAATGAAACAAAAATCTGCTTTTTGGACTTAATTTACAGTAAAGTTAGGGTTAGGCATTAGTGTAAGCAGTGTGGTTAAGGTTGGGGTTAGGTTTACATTTGTGACTTTGTGGCTGTGACAGATTGGGACCCCTCTGCAGAGCTGCCTACAGGACAAGATTCATGACAATAAATGTCAACCTGCAAAGACAAATCTGTAATTGCAATTGGTCAACATACTGTAGATTACTGGACGAACATCATATTACATGTATAAGTTAACTACAGAATTCAAAAAGGGGTCCAATCAAGGCTTTTTTTTTTTGCCAGAGTATGTCCATAAGTTTTCTCATTTGATTAGCCCATGATATTTTCATTGATTGAAAATCGTCCTTATTATTTTCGAGACAATGGTAATAGAATTGGGCCATTTCAAAGCAAGCAGGGGTAGTTTTTTGTCCAGTACCTGCAATTGTACTCAATAGGCCTTTTCACACAACATTATCTTAGCCCAGGCCTAAGGAGGCTGTTAGCCCTGGGCTTATTGTAGTGTGAATGCAGCTAATGTCTTGATCCAATATACTCTCTTCTTTTTCCCTTCCAGAATAACCGCTTCAGTGATTTTGTGGACAAGCAGACAGGATACAAAACCAAAAACATGCTCACATACCCCATCATGGCTGATAAAGAATGCCTTGGTGTTGCAATGGCACTAAACAAAATTGGGGCCGAAGAATTCTCAAAAGCCGATGAGGAAGTAAGTCCTGAGCTCTCAAAAGCAAAATACCAGTCTTAGAAAAGTTTCTCAGTATTAGTAATTATGGGAAGAACTTTTTTTATGTACAATTAATACATATTAGTACAATTCACACAGCACATGACATAAACAGATACTGTATAGCCTACATTACCCTAGTAATCAATATTCATGATGTTAAGTCCCCTATTTGGGTGGTTCTGGACCGGTTCCGACTGACATTTTGGTGTACAAAGCGCTCTGTGAACATTGTAGGGTCCCATGTTTTATAGTGCCAGAAAGCCCCATATATCCCGGGTCAAACAATCCTATAGGATTCCAATAAAAAAATCATATTAGAATTCAAAATAAAATCCTATTAGATTTTATAACCAATCCTATAGGATTTTATCCAATAGGACCAGTTCCAAAATCTGATAGGAGTTTTCTATTACATTTTTGTCATTTAGCAGATACTCTTATCCAGAGTGACTTGCAGTAGTGAGTGCATACATTTTTCATACTGGTCCCCCGTGGGAATCAAACCCAAAACCCTGGCATTGCAAGCACCATGCTCTACCAAGTGAGCCACATGGGATTCTAATTCGATTCTAATTGGATCCTTGTATTGGAATCCTGTAGAATTTCAATGTTTTTTCTCTTATACAATTTCTATAAATGTTGTTGATGGGAATTGTATAGATATTTACATTACATTCTAAAGGATTTATCCTCAAGACTTGGCTATACACTTTAGTTAACTTGGCTGCTTAACTTATGGAGCACCCACCCTCCAAACCTCTTAGACAATTACCTATGAAGGTGGACAGTGGACACATGTGAACTATAATACCATCATAAGCAATCAATATTGAACTGCCACCCTTGCCACTTGAGATGGTGACCCTATAGTGGGGAACCGCCGGCAATGTCCCCTCTACCCAGTAGCTATTTCGTGCAGCCCCAAGGTCCAAGGGACACAAAGTGAGTAAACATTTGCATCTGGTGCATCTGTGTCACACATTGTGAAACGTACTGTGATTGCCCGCAAGGTTGTTTACATTTGTGTCAAAAAGGTGTGCTATGTGGCATTACATCCAAACAGCCCCCCCGTCTGCGAAAACATCTCAACACCCCCACCCCCAAACATCTTCCTGCGGGGGAACAGCTCTGGGGGGGAGGCGGGGGAGGGGCTACAACCCTGGGAGGGAGGGAGGGAGGGATGGAGGGAGGGAGGGATGGATGGAGGGAGGCAGGTAGGGAGGGTGGTACAACCCTGGGAGGGAGGGAGGGAGGGAGGGAGGGAGGGATGGATGGAGGGAGGCAGGTAGGGAGGGTGGTACAACCCTGGGAGGGAAGGAGTTGGAGGTTCTCATTATCTTTCGGTTTTTATTTCCCTCTCCCTATCCCAACATAAAGAGGATAAAGGTGGCATTCCCTTTTTTGTATGCATAGCTGACAAATATATATACAATGAAAGAAATGCTTATATCTTTGTGTTACTGTACCTAAAACATTTTTTTCCTTCTACTTCTTATTTGCATATAAGGATTGTAACGTTTCTGTGCATTCTAAGGGGAACCCCCTCCAAACATCTTGTGTTATTGTAACATTGTATATAGTATTGTATGTCATATTGTAATGTCTAATTCAAAGACAAGAAAATAAGTTCTAATAGGATTCTGATTGGGATGACAAGATCCTACAATCCTACAAGAATGTTTGATATCGATAATTTCCCATAGGATTCAATGGAGAATTTTTTTTAATATATAAATAATTCAATTTGTTATATAAATAATGTGATTTTTGTATATAAAAATACAATTATTGATTTAAAAATTTTTTAAAACGCTTTCCATATAAATGCGCTAAATTTACTAAGGAACATGATAGCGCTCGGAACGGCCTGTTTCGCAATTCACAACAATGTAATTGGTGATCAAAGATAGTTACGCTATCATTACTAAATATCAGTTTCATTTGCTCTGAAATCTGTACATAGTGGTGAAGCCAAGACCACAAGGTAGCGCAGCGCCCCTCTTATTTGGCGAGAACCCTGGCATAGTGACCATGTCTTGGTTTTAAAAGCTTTAAATGGCCACTTCCAATTTTTGCGGTATTCCCGGGGACTCTTTGGATGAATATGAATTATTCCTGGTATTGAAACTTGATCAGTTTTCTGGAAAATAGTAATCCTTTAACTGTCACGAAGTATGATCATATTTATTTTACAGTTATAAGAAATGTGAAATCTTATAGTAAGTCGTTTATAATTTGATTGTTACTGTATTTAGAAAGCATTTCAGTCATTTCAAGCCCTAATCCCCCACTTTTTTTTAAACAGGAAGAAAATCATATACTGTATGATTTTTCATATTTTCATTACATTTGTACTATGTACTTGAGCTTGTGTCCTCAAAAGTTAGTACATCTCAGCAATTAATAACTATTTTTACCAGAAAGGTGAGTTCCAGACCTTTCTAAAACTATGCAACATTACCAGTTGTTGTTTATGGCCAGCTCATGAAAAACAATTATGTATGGGTATGTCTTATTTAGGCAGAAATAATAGTTTTGCCATATCATTCAACTGGTTAAAAGCCACATTGATACTGCCACAAGACTGTTAGGGGCTCTCTAGATCATGAGAGGTGGCAATACTGCATATTCAATGTATGACATCAGTAATCTGGACATCACATCAGATGAATGCCTGTCTGCTGTACTGATGATTGATTTAATCTGATTTTGTTTTCAGCTCTGGAACAAGTACATGGTCTTTGCACACGTCATTGCCCTGCAGCATCACACTGCATACATGTTCAACGTGGAATCCAGGAGGAGTCAGGTAAGAACCCAATGAACCCCATCATTCAACATGAGCTGTCCATCAACTGTGTCAATCATGCTGGCCCTTGAATACAAAGACACAGTTCATCAAGGTAATTTGCTATTAGTGTCTGAAATAAGAATAAGATGATAAGATGAGTGGTATAATATATCAGGAATATATTAATGATCATCATAATATATCATATCAGTTAAAGTTTTCTGTAAAGCCGTGATATACCATGTAATCCATGAGTTAACCATTATAACAGTTTCCCCCAAAAAATATGAATAGCCATTATTCTTCCCTTGTTTCACTAGGTACTTCTGTGGTCTGCCAGCAAAGTGTTTGAAGAGTTGACAGACATTGAGAGACAGTTCCACAAAGCTCTGTACACTGTGAGAATCTACCTCAATTGTGAAAGATACTCCGTGGGCCTCTTGGACATGACCAAAGAGAAGGTTTGTTACTAGTGTATAATATACTAAGGCATATTGCTGTTTTTTCACTGTCTTAATATGGGCACCATTTTGGATCTGCTCCTTCTGTGGTTGCTAAATGGATACACTGAAGTCCTGATTGCTGTCTTCCCTCTCTTCATGCAGGAGTTCTACGATGAGTGGCCAGTGAAGCTGGGAGACGTACCGCCATACAGTGGACCAAAGACCCCCGACGGAAGGGTAAATATCATTTTCCTTTGATATGATTCTCGCCAAGCATTCTGCTCTTTTCTCTACTGCCTTGTCTATGGCACAATCACAGGCAGTGAATGTTGTTCTGTGCGTCTGCAGGAAGTCATCTTCTACAAGATTATTGACTATCTGTTAGAAGGACCCAAAGAGGAAATCAAAGTCATACCGTAAATACCAGTAGCTTCTTGTTATAAATCACTCATTATTATTATTATTATTATGCTCTCTGAAGAAACAATAAAGTCTCAAAGTACCAAAACTTATCACTCACTCTCTTACTCCCTCACTCTGTTCCATGTAGGGGTCCTCCTGTTGACCACTGGGCCCTGGTCAGTGGGCTCCCCACCTACGTTTCTGAGAACGGCTTTGTAAGTTGATGTGAAAGAGTGCATGTAGTCCATACATTAATCACATGCCATATACCATCTACAAGCATGTAGGGCCTACTGTAGAGAGTGATTTTACTGAAATATGTCTTCTTCTTCCCCTGCAGATTTGTAACATGATGAACGTTGCCGCTGATGAGTACTTCAACTTCCAGGTGAGGAGTATGGGCCCCAATTGGATGGATGGTATTAAGTATAGGATGACCTTGGTGTTACAATATATCGAGTCCTCAGCAACATGTGCTATTTGAAGAGGACCACCAGCCCTCAGATTGATGTTGTATCCCTAAAATGCAATATTCTAGGGGTAATTCTAAAAGCGTTTACTAATCGACTTCATGCTGTTTTGTCTTTCAGAAAGAGGCTGTGGATGAAACAGGTTTTGTCATCAAGAACGTCTTGTCCCTTCCCATTGTTAACAAAAAGGAAGAAATTGTGGGTATTGCCACTTTCTTCAACAGGAAAGATGGTAAACCATTCGATGAGCACGACGAACAGATCACTGAGGTGAGTGCATAGACATCCACGCTCTCTCTCTTTCTCGCTATCAGTCATATCAACCACTTCCCTCATAAATTCTGTCATGGGTTACATGTGAATGCATGATGTGGTCAAAACCTGTCTGCATTGTTCCAGGCCCTCACCCAGTTCCTGGGATGGTCGGTGCTCAACTGCGACACGTACGACAGACTGAACAGGATGGAGTGGAGAAAGGACATCGCCCAGGAGATGCTCATGTGCCAGACCAGATGCACCAACACCGAAATGCAGAGTATCCTGGTGAGACCTGAGACATGTTAGACTGTAGACCTTATAGACAGTGGAGATTCACAGAGGAAAATAGCCTCATGGGACAAACCTTTGATACTCTTCTCTCTTTCCACAGAACACAAAGGAGAAGTTTGATGCCGAACCAGAGGACTGTGACCAGAAAGAGATGTACAAACTCTTGGTAAGACCATGTATAAGACTGTCAGTGAAAGTGGGTAGAGGTACAATGATAATGTGGCACAGAGTGGTGATTGAATGATCAACTTGGATAATGGCATGATACCAAACGCAGAACAGGAAGATATGAACATGCTAATAATACTATAATAATGCCTGTGAAAGTGGACTCAGCAGTGCGGTAATTCGGAAATCAATTAATCAATAAATAAATATATGGTTATTATTTTGCTCTTCTGTAGAGATCAAACTGCCCTGTGGCCGTAGACGTGGACCTGCTGCTGTTCTCCTTCAGTGACTTCCCTGTGACAGAGCACGGCCTAATCATGTGTGGAATTCGCTGCTTCTTTGAGCTGAATGTGGTGGAGAAGTTCAAAGTGCCCGCAGAGGTCAGTCCTGAAGACCCTGGCTAGTAAAACAATCATGTTTATTTAGATGTACAGTACCAGTCAAAAGCTTGGACACACCTACTCATTCAAGGGTTTTTCTTTATTTTGACTATTTTCTACATTGTAGAATTATAGTGAAAACATCAAAACTATGAAATAACACATATGGAATCATGTAGTAACCAAAACAGTGTTAAACAAATCAAAATATATTTTATATTTGAGATTCTTCAAAGTAGCCACCCTTTGCCTTGATGACAGGTTTAGATTTGCATACTCTTGGCATTCTCTCAACCAGCTTCACCTGGAATGCTTTCCCAACAGTCTTGAAGGAGTTCCCACATATGCTGAGCACTTGTTGGCTGCTTTTCTTTCACTCTGCGGTGCAACTCATCCCAAACCATCTCAATTGGGTTGAGGTCGGGTGATTGTGGAGGCCAGGTCATCTGATGCAGCACTCCATTACTCTCCTTCTTGGTCAAATAGCCCTTACACAGCCTGGAGGTGTGTTTTGGGTCATTGTCCTGTTGAAAAACAAATGATAGTCCAACTAAGCACAAACCAGATGGGATGGCGTATTGCTGCAGAATGCTGTGGTAGCCATGCTGGTTAAGTGTGCCTTGAATTCTAAATAAATCACTGACAGTGTCACCAGCAAAGCACCCCCACACCATCACACCTCCTCCTCCTCATCAGACCAAAGGACAGATTTCCACCAGTCTAATGTCCATTGCTCGTGTTTTTTGGCCCAAGCAAGCCTCTTCTTCTTATTGGTGTCCTTTAGTAGTGGTTTCTTTGCAGCAATTCGACCATGAAGGCCTGATTCACGCAGTCTCCTCTGAACAGTTGATGTTGAGATGTGTCTGTTACTTGCAGTTAACTCTAATGAACTTATCCTCTGCAGCAGAGGTAACTCTGGGTCTTCCTTTCCTGTGGCGGTCCTCATGAGAGCCAGTTTCATCATAGCGCTTGATGGTTTTTGCGAGTGCACTTGAAGAAACTTTCAAAGTTCTTGAAATTTTCCAGATTGACTGACCTTCATGTCTTAAAGTAATTATGGACTGTCGTTTCTCTTTGCTTATTTGAGCTGTTCTTGCCATAATATGGACTTGGTCTTTTACCAAATAGGGCTATCTTCTGTGTACCACCCCTACTTTGTCACAACACAACTGATTGGCTAAAACGCATTAAGAGGCAAAGACATTACACAAATTAACATTTAAGAAGGAACACCTGTTAATTGAAATGCATTCCAGGTGACTACCTCATAAAGCTGGTTGAGAGAATGCCAAGAGTGTGCAAAGCTGTCATCAAGGCAAAGGGTGGCTACTTTGAAGAATCTCAAATATAACATATATTTAGATTCGTTTAACACTTTTACTACATGATTCCATATGTGTTATTCCATAGTTTTGATGTCTTCACTATTATTCTACAATGTAGAAAATAGTAAAAATAAAGAAAAACCCTGGAATGAGTAGGTGTGTCCAAACTTTTGACTGGTACTGTATTTATTTTGTTGTAACCTCAGCATTATACATTCCCCAGAATGCATGCAATGTATGCACTGTACATGACTCAATACATTAACTAAGCTTTTGCCTTTTCTGTATCTAATTTATTTTGTCGAGCCTAATATTTTCCAAATACAAGGCCATGTCCTACTGGTTTGGTCATATAGATCAGTGTTTCCTAACCAGGGGTACTTGAGAAGACTCATGAGGCATAGGCCTACTGGTAAAATGCACATGAGGGGGTACTTCAGGGGTACTCCAGGCAGAGCCAAATTCTGTTGGTGGTACAGTAACCAAAAAAGATTTGGAACCACTGCCTCATGTCTAATTGTTTCCTCTTCCCATGTACAACCAGACCCTGACCCGATGGATGTACACTGTCCGGAAAGGTTACCGTGACATCACCTACCACAACTGGAGACACGGCTTCAACGTGGGCCAGACCATGTTCTGTCTTCTACAGGTGAGTCCCTTTACTCCTACAGTACCAATACTATCACCTGATACCTACAGTGCCGTGAAAAAGTATTTGCCCCCTTTCTGATTTTCTCTATTTTTGCATATTTTTTATATTGAATGTTATCAGATCTTCAACCAAAATGCAATATTAAATAAAGGGAACCTGGTTTACAAATAACAAAAAAATATGTTTTGTTTATTTAATTAACAAAGGGGCAAATTATTTTTACAGCACTGTACATGGCTAAGTGTAGATTGTACAGAATAACTGTGCATAAAATCACCAAAAGAAGAGTAGTTCAAAGTTCCTAATTGTTTAGAGAAACATTTTTGCTGCCAACCAAAGGCTACCCACTAATGTAGGTCAGGGAGATAACCCCGTTTTGTTTGATAAAGGATCGATCACCTCACACACCCATTTTGTTCAATAGTGGATCACCCCACCCCTCCCATTTTGTTTGATCATGAATCAGCCCACCCTTTTGCTCCACAGACTGGCAGGCTGAGGAAATATTACTCTGACCTGGATGCCTTTGCCATGGTGGCTGCTGCATTCTGCCACGATATTGACCACAGGGGGACCAACAACTTATACCAGACAAAGTAAGACCACCTCCGTTTACCTATGAGAACTCAAAGCACTCCCTAAATAATCACTGTTTAGTTGTCTGTTATTGGTTTGGAATGTGTTGTTTGTGGTCTAACGATTGTGTTACCCCTCTCTGACTTGCAGGAGTGGATCGCCTTTAGCCAAACTGCACGGCTCCTCCATCATGGAGAGGCACCATCTGGAGTACAGCAAGACGCTCATGGCTGAGGAGGTTAGACACTGACTCCTGTTAAGGCTGTGGCCAAAATGGCACCCTATTCCCTATTACATTTGAGTCATTTTGCAAACGCTCTTATCCAGAGCGACTTACAGTAGTGAGTGCATACAATTCATCAGTTATCAGTTGCCGCCTTCATCCGCCTTTCCAGACGTTTGGGAGATGGGACTCCTGTATCCGCCTGGCCAGGCGTTGAGGACTTGTGGCTTTGTAATTGGAGTTGTCCATCTCCTGGACTGGCTGCCCACCAGGGTTTGAGAGCCCAGTCTACCCTACGTTTTCCTGTAACCCTGGGTGGGGGCCCTAACCGGGTGCTGTCAGTCGGAGCCAGCTGAGCCCGAGAATCGCGTGGGGCAGTGGCGTCACTCCCTGAGGTAGCATGCAAGGCATAGCAACACAAGGCAGAGCAGAGCAAAATAAGGGAAAGCAGAGCAAAGCAAGCATGGAAAAGCAAAGCAATGCTACCCGCTACCCGTATATAGTGAACTACTTTTGACCAGCGTTTGCATACAAGGTCATTGTGGGAGTTGAACTCTTACCTTTTTCTCTACTCCCCCGTCAGAGCCTGAACATCTTTGTGAATCTCCAGAAGCGCCAGTTTGAAACTGTACAGCACTTGTTTGACGTCTGCATCATTGCCACTGATCTGGCCTTGTACTTCAAGTGGGTTTTTACAATTGTTATGGTCTCCGATATAGCTGCTTTTAAATATACTGAATCAGTATCATTTTTGTGCAATGTCCTAACTTGACTGTTGGTCCCCAGAAAAAGAACAATGTTCCAGAACATTGTGAACGCCACTGAGCCAATGGAAACTGAGAAGGATAAAATCGAGCATATTGCCAACAATGCCATCAGGAAGGAAATTATCATGTGAGTAGGAATGTTCTTCTGTCCGCCATCTCGGGGGTTTGCTACACTTGTGGCAGTTGTCCACTTTTCTTAAAGTGCACATTGTCACAGTTCTCGGTTTCTTGCATAATATTAATTAATATAACAATACTGTCCCTTCTTGTGTATCAGGGCCATGATGATGACAGGTTGTGACTTGTCTGCCATCACCAAACCATGGGAGGTCCAGAGCAAGGTGGATACTATATCTGTCCACCATGTCATGAAACAAAACAACACAGCAGAAGAAAAAAAAACTTTGCCCAATTCCCTCAAAACAATATAGACCACAAGATGCTCTGAGGTTTAGATTAGTATTGATACATTCTTTGCTGTGAATTCTCTACCTCCTAGGTGGCTCTAATGGTCGCAGCTGAGTTCTGGGAGCAAGGTGACTTGGAAAGGACCGTTCTCGATCAGCAACCCATTGTGAGTTTGTGAAGAAAACAGCTGTTTCTTTACAATATGTATTTATAGAGTAATCACACATTTCTGTTAGTTCTCTGTTTGATTTGATCTTCCCCATTTCTTTCATTGTTCCTCAGCCCATGATGGACAGAAACTGTGCAGCGGAGTTACCCAAGATGCAGTGCGGTTTCATTCAGTTTGTGTGTGCGTTCGTATACAAGGTAACTGCCTGGCTGGTTGAAGCTCAACCAAGCCCTATTTTGTTTCTTAATTCGTTCTGATCTGTTGATTTGAAAGAATTCAGCTTGTGTTATTTGTCATTAGGTATAATGTTCTATCAATTATTTTTGGAAACGGAATCATCCTTAGAAAAATAGATGAGATCAGTTTCTCTGTGAACCATCTCTGTCATCTTCAGTGAGTAGGTCATCCAGTTTAGACCACCTGACTGACCAGTAGGCCTATCCATCTCCAAGTGTGCACCCGCTGAACTCCACAGCAGAAATGTTTGCACCATAAGGAATATGTCAGGTTGAGTGACAGTCCCGGGCATGTGAATGCTTGCAATAATGGGGCCTACTTGTGTGCAGGAATTCTCGAGGTTCCACGTAGAGATCACCCCGATGTTTGATGGGCTGAACAACAACCTAAAGAACTGGAAAGAGCTGGCCGACATCCACGCCGCCAAGATGGCGGCCATTGAGGAAGAGAAAAAGAAGCTTGAAGCACCTGCAGGTAACATTTGAAATACAGTCAGGTCTCAGCCAAGAAATCAGGGTTGGAGTCAATTTTGAATTTAATTCAATTCAACCAATGAATTGAAATTCTATTTAGAATTGAATTTAACAAGAGTGTACAAAACATTAGGAACACCTTCCTAATATTGAGTTGCACCCCCATTTGCCCTCAGAACTGACTCAATTCATTGGGGTATGGACTCTACAAGGTGTTGAAAGCGTTCCACAGGGATGCTGGCCCATGTTGACTCCAACATGGGAAACTGTTGAGCGTGGAAAACCCAGCAGCGTTGCAGTTCTTGACACACTCAAACCAGTGCACCTGGCACCTACTACCATACCCCGTTCAAAGGCAAATATTTTGTCTTGCCCATTCACCCTCTGAATGGCATACATGCACAATCCATGTCTCAATTGTCTCAAGGCTTAAAAAAACATATTTAACCTGTCTCCTCCCCTTGATCTACACTGATTTGAAGTGGATTTAACAAGTGACATCAATAGGGATCATAGATTTCACCTGGATTCACTTGGTCAGTTTATGTCATGGAAAGAGCAGTTGTTCCTAATGTTTTGTGCACTCAGTGTATGTTTACATAGTATTAGTCACCATATGTCAAAATAAACATTTGTATAAGATAAGATACACTATATATACAAAGGTATGTGGACACCCCTTCAAATTAGTGGATTCTGCTATTCCAACCACACCCGTTGCTGACAGGTGTATAAAATCGAGCACACAGCCATGCAATCTCCATAGACAAACATTGGCAGTAGAATGGCCTTACTGAAGAGCTCAGTGACTTTCAACGTGGCACCTTCATAGGATGCAACCTTTCCAACAAGTCAGTTCATCACATTTCTGTCCTGCTAGAGCTGCCCCGGTCAACTGTATGTGCTGTTATTGTGAAGTGGAAACGTCTAGGCGCAACAATGGCTCAGCCACAAAGTGGTAGGCCACACAAGCTCACAGAACGGGATCGCTGAGTACTGGAGTGCGGAGCGCGTAAAAATCGTCTGTCCTCAGTTGCATCACTCACTACCGAGTTCCAAACTGCCTCTGGAATTAACTTCAGAACAATAACTGTTTGTTGGTAGTTTTATGAAATGGGTTTCCATGGTCGAGCAGCTGCACACAAGCCTAAGATCACCATACACAATGCCAAGCGTCGGCTGGAGTGGTGTAAAGCTCGCCGCCATTGGACTCTGGAGCAGTGGAAATGCGTTCTCCGGGGTGATTAATCATGCTTCTCCATCTGGCAGTCCGACGGATGAATCTGGCTTTGGCGGATGCCAGAAGAACATTACCTGCCCAAATGCATAGTGCCAACTGTAAAGTTTGATGGAGGAGGAATAATGGTCTGGGGCTGTTTTTCATGGTTTGGGCTAGGCCCCTTAGTTCCAGCGAAGGGAAATCTTAACGCTACAGCATACAGTTGAAGTCGGAAGTTTACATACACCTTAGCCAAATACATTTAAACTCAGTTTTTCACAATTCCTGACATTTAATCCTAGTAAAATTCCCTGTCTTAGGTCAGTTAGGATCACCGCTTTATTTTAAGAATGTGAAATGTCAGAATAATAGTAGAGAGTGATTTATTTCAGCTTTTATTTATTTCATCACATTCCCAGTGGGGCAGAAGTTTACATACACTCAATTAGTATTTGGTAGCATTGCCTTTAAATTGTTTAACTTGGGTGAAACGTTTCGGGTAGCCTTCCACAAGCTTCCCACAATAAGGTGGGTGAATTTTGGCCCATTCCTCCTGGCAGTGCTGGCGTAACTGAGTCAGGTTTGTAGGCCTCCTTGCTCGCACACGCTTTTTCAGTTCTGCCCACAAATCTCCTATAGGATTGAGGTCAGGGCTTTGTGATGGCCACTCCAATACCTTGACTTTGTTGTCCTTAAGCCATTTTGCCACAACTTTGGAAGTATACTTGGGGTCATTGTCCATTTGGAAGACCCATTTGCGACCAAGCTTTAACTTCCTGACTGATGTCTTGAGATGTTGCTTCAATATATCCACATAATTTTCCTTCCTCATGATGCCATCTATTTTGTGAAGTGCACCAGTCCCTCCTGCAGCAAAGCACCCACACAGTATGATGCTGCCACCGCTGTGCTTCATGGTTGGGATGGTTTTCTTCGGCTTGCAAGTAACCCCCTTTTTCCTCCAAACATAACGATGGTCATTAAGGCCAAACAGTTATATTTTTGTTTCATCAGACCAGAGGACATTTCTCCAAAAAGTACGATCTTTGTCTCCATGTGCAGTTGCAAACTGTAGTCTGGCTTTTTTATGGCGGTTTTGGAGCAGTGGCTTCTTCCTTGCTGAGCAGCCTTTCAGGTGATGTCGATATAGGACTCGTTTTACTGTGGATATAGATACTTTTTTACCTGTTTCCTCCAGCATCTTCACAAGGTCCTTTGCTGTTGTTCTGGGATTGATTTGCACTTTTCGCACCAAAGTACGTTCATCTCTAGGAAACAGAACGTGTCTCCTTCCTGAGCGGTATAACGGCTGCGTGGTCCCATGGTGTTTATACTTGCGTACTATTGTTTGTACAGATTAACGTGATACCTTCAGGCGTTTGGAAATAACTCCCAAGTATTAACCAGACTTGTGGAGGTCTACCATTTTTTTTTCTGAGGTCTTGGCTTGTTTCTTTAGATTTTCCCATTATGTCAAGCAAAGAGGCACTAAGTTTGAAGGTAGGCCTTGAAATACATCCACAGGTACACCTCCAATTGACTCAAATGATGTCAATTAGCCTATCAGAAGCTTCTAAAGCCATGACATAATTTTCTGGAATTTTCCAAGCTGTTTAAAGGCACAGTCAACTTAGTGTATGTAAACTTCTGACCCATTGGAATTGTGATACAGTGAATTATAAGTGAAATAATCTGTCTGTAAACAATTGTTGGAAAAAGTACTTGTGTCATGCACAAAATAGATGTCTTAACCGACTTGCCAAAACTATAGTTTGTTAACAAGAAATGTTTTAATGACTCCAACCTAAGTGTATGTCAACTTCCGACTTCAACTGTACATTGACATTGTCGAGATCGGTGTGGAAGAGCTTGACTGGCCTGCACAGAGCCCTGACCTCAACCCCATCGAACACCTTTGGGATGAATTGGTATGCCGACTGCGAGCCAGGCCTAATCGCCCAACATCAGTGCCTGACCTCACTAATACTGTTGTGGCTGAATGGAAGCAAGTCCCCGCAGCAATGTTCCAACATCTAGTGGAAAACCTTCCCAGAAGAGTGGAGGCTGTTATAGTAGCAAAGAGGGACCAACTCAATATTAATGACCATGATTTTGGGATGAAATGTTTGAAGAGCAGGTGTCCACATACCTTTGTCATGTAGTGTAGTACTTTATTAATCCCCCAAAGGGTGATTAATAAAGTGATATAGTGACATATAGAAGACATTAACCATTTTAATTTTATTTAATTAAATTATACTTTCTTTAAAGGGGAAATTTGTAGTTGCAACATCCATTTGTGCACTTATAAATTAATTATACATACCCATTGATTCTTGAAGAATTTAACTTATAAATGCCTTATGAGCTTAGTTCAACTGTCGTACCCCATCAGAACCCAAAATATAAGCTTGCTTTACTCCAATGTTTGTAAACAAAGTAAATGTAAACAAACAATACATAGCCTCAAAACATGGTTAAAAGTATAATTGTGATATCATAGATGGTCAGTCCTTGCATCCATAGCTCGGTTTATGATTTTCAGAGTGGTAACATTTCTCCAGCCCCATCCCTCAGCTTTTTACCGAAACAGGGGCGGGGTATACACTTTGTTATTGTTTCAACTGCTGATTTCCACTTTAATATAAATTATATTCTATTGTGGCCAATTCAATTTAAATTCAAGAATTGAATCAGAATTCAGAACTTAAGAAGAAGCTATTGTACAATCTCCCAAGAAATAGCATTACCGGAAAATAGCCTACCATTCTTTTAGACACAGTGCCTGAGGCTTTTCCATGCACACATATGCCACGCCACCAGTGGTCCAGCAGGCCACTGGACCATTTTTTAGACAGGGTGAAAAATGTTTGACAGGGCTGAGAATAGACCAGCCCATCTGGCATTTCGGGCAAATGCCAGTCCTCCCCTGAGTTTACCTTAGTTAAGCCATCGACATACTAAGACCATCTTCTTTATCTTTATCTTGCTGATAGCTGTCTTGCTATGAACTCAAATCAATCAAACATTTGATTTGTCTTGCTATGTGTTGTTGCTGCTTGCTGTCTTGCATTCTGTTTGAACAGCAGAGGAGGCAGCAGAAGGAGGGAAATCCAAGACCTGCACCATCGCCTAACCCCCTGGAGTGTGCCCCAGTCCTGGCCGTGTGGCGGAGGATCCCTGGGCGCAGCAAGCAGTCAGTGGGTAGACAGTGTGAAGTTGTGTCCCTGTGTGGACTGACTTGATCGCTTCCTCTCATTCTCAGGACTTGATAAGTCAATCCTGATGGATCAACACACTCATCGCAGATATACCAGCAGCTGGTGCATTACCATATCTTGACAGCACACTTAAAGTAGAGCATATCTTTCACAGATAACTAACTATAGGTACGACTTTATCGACAACTAACATAATCCAAGTAATGAAACAAACATTACATCTTAACATCTACCAAATGGCATATAATGTATTTAATTTATTTAGACATGTATTCTGCTTTGGGAAATAACTACCTGTACATGTTTATCCATACTCTGATGATCCATAAAGATATTAGGGTGACAGTTCAGTGGACAAACTTTTATAACTGAGCTGTTTTATTAGCACAGGAATACTGTTTGATATTTGAATACTCATCTCAGGAATTTTAAGAACAAATATGAGTAGGCAAATAACACAACCAAATTCTGTAGAAAGGCAGACACTGTTTATTTAGAATTATTTACTGTAAGAGCACAAGCCTCTTCCCATAACTAAAACTTAAAAGGCAAACTTGCTGTTTTAGCAAATGACAATTGACTTTACCGAGGGGTAATATAATATCAATGCTCAAAATGTGTACACACTCCTGAGCCTTGTGATGGTATATTTATGTTAATATGCAAAGTATATATTTTTTGATTGTCAGAGGTTTTCTACTTTATGTATTTTAAGAATGGAGCTGAGTCACTTCAAAGTCTAAGTCTTTAGATTGTATGAACTGATATGGTTCGTAGTCACATTTGAGCATCAGGTATCCATTGCAAACTTTGTGTACAATGTTAAACTGCACATTTTCCCAATAACTTGAAAATGTAATATATGATGATAATATATTGATGTATCATAAATTGCAATTCAATAATCTTTCAAAAATTGAGATTATGCTACTGTATCACGTATGTTTATGCTCCAAAGAAATGTAGTTAATCACATAAATGTAAAATATGTAAAAATTAAACCTACAATTCCAAAAACTATTTTTTACTTGCTATTAGGAGGCAAGCCTAGGAAATGTTCCATCAGTGTCGTAAATATCTTCAGGTACCTGACCATAAAATGATTTGAAGGGATTGAGTCAGTCAGCTTTCGAGATCTGCACAGCTTGAAACTTTAAATACCCTACTTACTGTAGATAAAGCAAGCTACCGAAGTCTTACATCTACTGTGTGTGAAGGGCATCATGTTTGTTTTATGGATACAAGCCTGCAATGTGGCCTCAGTCAGGCCAAAGCTCCTCTTCTCTTTGTTTGACTATTTGGGGCTTATTAGAGGACCAGTGTGAAATTAACTTAAGCAACATTGAGAAAGTGAATTGATGAATCCAACTGAATTGCAATGGGGTTCCCATAAAGAAAAACTCCTTAGAAATCCTGCCAAGCAATCTCCTTTTGACCTACTGTAACAGGTGGCCAAGACATCTATGGAGACATCCGATAGTAGCCCTAAGCAGGAAACACAGGGCAGGCAAAGTTTGACTTCTTTGCTTATGCAACGTGCCCTCACTAAATCAATGGAAAATCAATCAAGAGCAGTAATCCAATGAGGGTGGCTTTGACAGCCACTCTGCATCTTAAATGGATTCTCTGAATCTCTGTTCCTATAGCTGCTAGGCAGGGCAAGCTGCTTGGATCAGGGCTCCACAATGGGATAAGGCGAACAGTATAAGCAGTATGGGAGTGACAATCTATTATGCGCGTACATTTAATCTACTAATTCTATTGAGTTATCACTGAGATTAGAATTTGACATTTGATGTCTGATGAAACAAATTCTACTGTATGTACGTGTCATAAGATGTAACATGTTAACAAAATAAAGGCATTCATCAAAGTCTGTGGGAATCTTGTCACATTCTTTAAACTTGCCCACTGAATAGAACAAATGTACCCACTACCTTTGAAATGGAATAGCACATTGATATACAGTAGAGACACAGGATTAACTTGAAGAACCTTGGGGTAGACAGTCCTCATGACTCCTATAACGTGCATGGAGAATACCCTATAAAGCTGGATTAGCCCTGGGAAAAGAAGATCAGCCGATTGTGTTGCTGCCGAGACCAATGCACTTTGGAGTGAGCACCTTGAGCGATGTCTGCATGAGGTGTTTCCAGACCCTTTCCATCCTGTGTCATCCTATACAGCTGTTATAGAGCACGTTTTTACAGTATACTGCATTTACTATATGACAGATGGGTAAGACCGTGTATATTTTTCAATCAAGGACAATTCAAAAAGCAAAATATTATAAAGCCAATGCAATCTTATGTCTGTGACCTGTGGCAACATAGGCCTACAGTATTGTGATATGAGATCCAAACTCTTTAATTGGGTAGTAGGGCATATTTATTGGCACAGAGAAACATTGAGTAGAATATAGTAGAATAGGTACTATGATTGACTTCCTCTTTACCTGCAAGGACGGTTATCATGCGTTAACTCAGTGTACCTGTGGACTCCTTCAGAAAGAAGAGAGAGTAATTACTGAAGATTCAAGCCAATGTGTCTAATCCCTGGGCAAGCGACACACAACTGAATTTCCTGGCGAAAAGAGCACACCGAGCCACTTTGGTCATAATTCACAGCTTCCTAATCCTAGTGTTACAGCATCTGAGGAACTCTGTAACATTGGTTCATATGGTTTGGACATCTATAACCCTATAGACAGAACATTGGTTAACTATAACCCTACAGGAGGAACTTTAATGATGTGTTAATACATGCACTTTCCAATGCCTTGGCTTTTATTTGGTCTCTCTCTACTACCATGGTTTAATGTTTTCCTTCCTCTAGTTTTCTTCGGAGATGGATCTTTCTTGGGAGTTCTTAGTGGTTTTACATGGCACTTTAAGCATATTGTAGTCTATTTCAGTTCTAATGAAATTAAGCTCCGGTTTTAAAAAATAGCGATTTTATTTAGCTTCAGATAAACTCAAATATTCAACGAGGACAACGTCTAATCCCAAATCAATTACATCAATGTCCGAACACGTAGACTCTTGCTGGCAGAAACCCAAGGCCAGGGTGGTCAAAGAAACATGTCCTCAAAGTACTTGTCAAACTCCTCCTCCCTGGAAGACAGAAAATAGTCCGATCAAAGTTTAAATGGCTGGTATTAGTGGCCAAAGGCCTAACAGGACATTGTAAGGATGAGCTAATGTGGGAGTGCTAAGCTCACCTGGACTTCTCCTCCATGGTGGGGGCTGGGCCTTTCCAGTGGTCTGCCTCCGACAGGCCATCTGGCTCCTCACTGTGTTCTCCCTCTGCTACAGGGCAGGAAGGAGACAATATAAATCAGAAAAATGTTATTCATGGAGAGATTTTCATGCATTACATTCAATCATAATGCTTTCATAAACAAACACATAAGCTTCAACTGAGGGATTGCTGCAGCACATAGAAAATAGGTACAGCGCTTAAGGTTTGAAGAGGGTCAGAAGAGTCATGTCCGACTTAAACTTATAAGAGTATGGCCCTTGGTCTGCGCCTTGGAGTTTGGCCTTCGTGTGCAATGACTGCTTTTATTTATGTTAAACCGACAACCAAGGGTAAGCAGGCCCAAACTTCAAGTGCAGCTGACAGCGTGAACAGATTGAAGCCGCAATGAAAGCATGACCATTGTCTGACTTTCTGCAGAGATTACTCCCCTGAGGCTTTAGGGCCAAGCTTGCACACATTTTAAAAGGTATTTAAAGGCACCTGTAATGGATGTGGACACTAGGGCCAGTCCGGTCTGCCTGCCCCCGAAATAATAGACTGCTTGACTTGGTAGGGAGGTGGAGAGTGAGAATGAACGGTACCTTTGTCTGAATCCTGGGAGTCGTCCTCAGAGTTACTGGGGGAGGAGCGGTCTGCAGGGGGAACACAGGAAGGGATCAGTCAGTTTAACTTGGACAGCCAACTATGTGCAGCTGACATTGGCAACAACAAAAAGCAACATGACCGTTGAAGGGTCATTAAGAAGCAGAAAGTGTTGCGATTTTTTTTTTTCAGTCAGCTATTATGTAATGGGCAATTCCACAGTAAGAGTGACAGAGTCAGATTTTTCACTTTAAAATGTCAAACAAAAACCAATGATTGCAAAGTTAAACAAACCATACAACTCTATTCATAAGGACTACTTTTAACAATTTCCACTGAAAACTTTACAAAAACAAATTTACTTTAAGAACAGTGCAGATGAAAGTAGCCCTTGTGCATAAAGTTGTATGGTTTGTTTAACTTTGCAATCATTGGTTTTTGTTTGACATACATTTTAAAGTGAAAAATCTGAGTCTCAGTGTCACTGTTTCCGTGGAATTGCCCTAATATCTCAACACCGTAGTAGGCCTATACACAGAGTGTACAAAACAATAACACCTGCTCTTTCCATGACATATAAACTGACCAGGTGAATCCAGGTGAAAGCTATGATCCCATATTGATGTCACTTGCTAAATCCACTTCAATCAGTGTAGATAAAGGGGAGGAGACAGGTTAAACAAGGATTTTTAAGCCTTGAGACAGATGTGACATGGATTGTGTATATGGGGGCCATTCTGAGGGTGAACGGGCAAGACAAAATACTTAAGTGCCTTTGAACGGGCTATGGTAGTAGGTGCCAGGCACACCGGTTTGTGCCAAGAACTGCAAAGTTGCTGTGTTTTTCACGCTCAACAGTTTCCCATGTGTATCAAGAATGGTCCATCACCCAAAAGTAATCCAGCCAACTTGACAACTGTGGGAAGCATTGGAGTCAACATGGGCCAGCATACCTGTGGAACGCTTTCGACACCTTGTAGAGTCCATGCCCCGACGAATTGAGGCTGTTCTAAGGGCAAACTTAATATTAGGAAGGTGTTCCTAATGTTTGGTATACTCAGTGCAAGTTTTTCATGGGGTGTGAGTCGGCAAATGCTAATGTTTCTAAAATTGTGTATTATTACACCATCAAGACATTAGTACAAACACCTTCAGCACTTTTAATTTTATCACCATGGCCTGTTATTTTTGTCTACCTATAGCCATAGTTGTACAAAGATATGAAACGGTGGAGTCTTGCCTTTGTGCCTCCTTTTATGTTTGTTTTTGCTTTTGTGTTTCTTGGAGCCTTTCCTGGATCTTTTTGACTGTGGCTCAACTTGATTTTCCTCAGACGACTTTGGTATTTTTCTCTTGGCGATCACCTCCTTTCTCCTGAAAAAAGTCATTTGTTTAAATTCTGCCAATTGTCAAACATTAACTGTGACATTTTGACAGTGCAAAAAGGGGCCAGAAACCCCATGTGTTCAATAGATGATGACGATAAACTGACAAGGAACAATTAGAGATTCAACTTACTTGTGATGATAGTTGAGTTTGAAGGAGCACTCGGGGCAGAGTCCTAGAAAATACCATCTCTGTTAGTATGGCAAACAATTGGAATAGAGGATATGATCTAGGAAATTTAATTGTGACAGACTGCTTGATATCGCTACATTTACTTTTGCTTTTAAGTAAACTATGTTTATTTCGCATGTCGGTGTTTCCTCAGGGTTCACAATGAGAGAAGGGAGTTATTCTTCTGGCTTTCCGAATGTGATTTGCTTCACCATAATACTGGAGCGAGGATTAAAGTCCCAGCCCTAGCTTAGATGGCCAGTAAACAACAGAGCTCTTACTGAGTTTGACCAGTGCGTTTCTCTTCTCTCCCTGCTCCACATAGGCAAAGTTCACCTCCCAGCTCTTCAGGCCATCCTCCTTCTCACAGCGCTTGTTCCCACACAGAAACTGGCCTACAGTGTCAATACAATAGAAACAGGATTCAACTGCATTTCCATACCACACAGAGTAGAGCAATAGAGAGACAATGTTTTTACACTATACAGATTATTACTCAATGTACTCTCATGACTACCTGCATTCTGCAGGTTTTTGCAAACCCTCAGAAACCTGCATCTGGGCAGGTTTCATTGAAGAGAACAGACTGGGGGGAAAATATTTTCAAGTATATGAAGTCACCTAGTATTATACCTATTTTAAGGCACATTATGCACATAGGATAGTCTGAAAACAATGCGAGAAATGCCAATGTAAAGCTCAACAAGGGTGTGTTCACCTGTGCAGTTCATTATCACATAGGTCACTACTAATCAAGCCAAATTAGCTCTCAATTGGAGGAAAGGTGCATAAACATGGCTGTATCTCTACAGTGCCTTCAGAAAGTATTCACACCCCTTGACTTTTCCCCACATTTTGCTGTGTTTAGTTTTTTTGTCACTGGCCTACACACAATACCCCAAAATGTCAAAGTGGAATTATGTTTGTTGAGATTTTTACAAATGAATAACAAATTAAAAGCTGAAATGTATTGAGTCAATACGTATTCAACCCCTTTGTTATGGCAATCCTATATAAGTTTAGGAGTAAAAATGTGCTTAACAAGTCACGTAATAAATTGCACGGACTCTGTTCAATAATAGCGTTTAACATGATTTTTGAATGACTACCTCATCTCTGTACCCCAACATACAATTATCTGTAAGGTCCCTCAGTCGAGCAGGGAATATCAAACACAGATTCAACCACAAACACCAGGGAGGTTTTCCAATCCCTCACAAAGAAAGGCACCTATTGGAAAAATCAGACATTGAATATCCCTTTGAGCATGGTGAAGTTATTAATTACACTTTGGATGGTGTATCAATACACCCAGTCACTACAAAGATACAGGCGTCCTTCCTAACTCAGTTGCCGGAGAGGAAAAAAACCGCTCAGGGGTTTCACCATGAGGCCAATGGTGACTTTAAAACAGTTACAGAGTTTAATGGCTGTGATAGGACATTGTAGTAACTCCACAATACTAACATAATTGACAGAGTGAAAAGAAGGAAGCCTGTACAGAATAAAAAATATTCCAAAACATGCATCCTGTTTGCAACAAAGCACTAAAGAAATACTGCAAAGAATGTGGCAAAGCAATTAACTTTCTGTTGTTTGGGGCAAATCCAATACAACACATTACTGAGTGCCTCTCTACATATTTTCAAGCATAGTGGTGGCTGCATCATGTTATGGGTATGCTTGTAATCGTTAAGGACTGGGGTGTTTTTCAGGATAAAAAATTAACTGAATGGAGCTAAGCACATGCAAAATCCTAGAGGAAAACCTGGTTCATGCTTATGTCAATTAGATATATCTATTTCATTTTCAAAGATTTCTAAAAACATGTTTTCACTTATGCGGTATTGTGTGTAGTTGGGCTGTAACACAAGAAAATGTGTAATAAGTCAAGCGGTATGAATAAGACCTCTCTTCCTACCAACAGTCAAGGCTTGTGGTTGACCTGCCGACGTTCCTACTGCTGCGGTCTAATCTTATTTTACACCATCAGGGCTCCTTGTACTCCTCTCCCCCTGCAGCAGGAAGCATGAAGCAGGAGGGCTGGCCAGTGGCCATGCCTTAACCCCGACTGACCATCAACAGCTTGGGTTTATCTTTAGCAGGCTTAATGATGGATCCTCCAGATTGCCCAGGAGGAAAAGTGTGCCATGAGCAGTCAGTACTGCCTGGTCTGCCCTTTTTCCTTGTCATCCTGCTGTTTAGGAGTCCTTGGGCCTCACCTGACCCCAGGCTGCTGGAGCTGGCAACATGTCATGAGCTGCCTTCTTCACATGCAGGCTAATTACCACCTTATCTGCCAGAAGAGAGCCCATTCTCTCTGATGCTGACAGCTGTGATTATACTCACCAATGGAAAAGCATAAGCAACTAGAGTTAGAGGCCCCTTCTAGAGAGACAGTGTCAATGTGACTTTAGGCCGCTGGAGCTGGCTACATGCCATGAGCTGCACGTGCAGGCTAATTAACCCCTTATCTGCCAGACAGGGCTCCATTCTCTCGGATGTTGGCGAGTCGTTCCAAGAACAGCGTCCCTTTGATATTTTAAGTGTTGTGCACTAATATTGACTTTTAAAATCCTGTTATATTAAATGAAGTGACCTTTTATACAAACCACATGGAACATTTAATACATCACATTTTTTATATGAACACAGACTTACTGAAGTGTCAAGAAATCTGCATTTTGAAATGTTCCACGTCATGTTTTTTTTTACTTCTAGGAAGATTTTAACCCACTTAACCCCATCATTTCTCCAAGTTTTCACCATCATTGTAAAGCCCTAGTTTTGCCCTATGTCGTTGCTTTGACTAAGTCATTTCTGAAGATTAATATTTATTTCATATGATCAGTGATTCATTTACGTTTGTCCCACATTTTAAGGTCAACCCTGTTACGTGAACTGAACTCTCGTTTTAATAGCAAAAACATTGAACATCTAATATTCAAATCACAGTGTAAAAGCAGGTGAGCTTTCTAATATTTTTGGTCATTTTCTGGTGTTTTGTGGTAGAAAACTGAGTGTTGAACATTACACTTCAACCCTGTTACCCATAAATAGATGGACTAGAATGTTTGTTTTGTTTTATTAAGCTTGCTTTCAATTGCCCCTCCCTGTTGCACACAACATGCTTCCATTTCCCCTTAAGATAAAATCATCAACCCTGTTACAGTCGACCCTGAATCTTTAATTGCCACTTTTCCTGTTACTTTAATTGGCATTGTTCTTATTTTGACCTTTTGAGATAAGAAAACATGTTTTCTATGAAGTGGAACATGTGCTCTTTATGACATAATATTATAATTAGGTGAAATAAACGTAAATTTTTCTTCTTTCTTTACACTACCCAAAATACACTACTTTCGTGGAACGACTGGTAGCTGTGATTATAAAGCATGTTAAGCAATGAAAAGTGAGTTACTCTCTAGGGAGAGGTCCCTTCTTAGACATACAGTGTATGACTTCACTGGAATGGATCCATGGCTTGGGTCTCTGTGTCCTTCCAGTTTGGACAAACTGTAGCTGGCTTCTTTGCTGTTTGACTTTCCAAAACATGCTGTAAAGTTTCACCAACAACTGTTCCAAAACTAGCCCTTGATCATGACTCTCAGTTCCATTACATTACACATAAGAATCATTGGACGAAGGCGTCTTCTGTACGGGGGAGTTTTGTTAAGAGCCTCGACGCTCTGTATGAACATTAACACGCATCGCTTACGGTACGGTTTTGGAAGCATAAGGACCTTATCTTTCATCACAGTGAGAAATCATTTTCAAAAAACAAAAAGTGAAATTGATACACACCTTTATAGGGTTAGGGTTAGTGTTCCCACACGACCCTATCTCCACGTTACAGGGCTTGTTTACGGAACACAGACAGAAGACAGAGGCAACCACCTGTGCTAATTAGCCATCTAGCATGCGCCAAACCCCTGTGTCTAAGCGTAACTCGGGAGTTGTAGAGGAAGTGTAGTTTTGTCGGATGGAGGCAACCATAGCTGTATGATCTGTGCAAAACTGCTTCAGTAAGTGTATCTTTTTTATTTGAAGGATTCTTTCTCGCTGATGAAAGATAAGGGCCATATGTTTCGAAAGCCGTATCGTAAGCAATGATTACTGACGTTTCTAAACGTTAAAACACAGCTTCTGAATTGTAGTTCACATGAGTGATTAACATAAAGAGTTAATCGCTCGCCTTTGACCAGCAGGGTGCACTCACGGCATCAGATGTTGATGGTTACATGGACCTAGGCAAGCTATTTTTTGTGATCACAGAATAGTTATTTTCCTCTCCGAAAAGGTGGACTGCAGCATAGTCTAAAACCTTTCAAAATGTGAAAGGCTGGCTACAGCATAGAGTCGTGGGCGAAGCTACCCACTGAAAACGGTAGGGAGAAGGCAGAATGCCACCTAGAGTTTGAGAGCTATTCTCGCCATAATAGAGATAAATTATGATTATGTCATAAATAATTTCACAAATATTGTTTATAAAAGCCAATGCTGATGCTATGTTGAACTTGAGGCAACCATGATTAAGTGGCCTAACGCTCAGAATTGGGGGTCTGCCCGATAAGAAAAAGCATATTTGTCACGTCTACTCCCGCTCCCCCGCTCCGGCGCTCGACGGTTTACTAACCACCGGTCCTGGCAACCCATCATGACGCTCACCTGGCAACCCTCATTACGCACACCTGCACCTCGTGAGGCACACCTGGACTTCATCACTACCCTGATTACTTCCCCTTTATCTAGCACCCCCTAGCATCGCTCTTCGGGCAGTATTGGTTCAGTTTTCATGTCCAGACGCTTCTCTCGTTTTGTACTCTCCATGTTCGTTATTATTAAACTCACCATCTGCACCTGCTTCCTGACTCCCTGCGTCTACGTTACAATGTTGAAAGATATCTATTGTTTCAAAGTGAGCAAAATAACAAACTGATTAGAATATTTGACTACATTTACTGTTTACATGTCTGTGACCTTTGAACAGAAAGTATCCAACTCATGGAATTACAAATTGATTGCAGACAGACATGTCGAAAGGTTAACTACAGACCTTGCTTGGTCAATACATCTTTACATGTGTACTAATCTCGGCTATCCCAGAACTAAAATCTTGCGTAATTTGGTCAGTTGCCTGATTAAGTTCTGGGTCTATACATGTTAGAAATGGAGAGTTCTGGTTTGCGAAGTCTCCGCCCTTGCAAAAAGGAAACTCTCAGCCAAACCCAATCCTGACACAGCCAAATAACCAGAGACGAAAACCCAGAGACCGGAACTACTGCTGCTCATTATCCCATTCAGTCTCGACAGATTCTACAGTTTACACTCCTGTCTCATCATGACGTAGGCCCTACGTACTTCAGACTGGGGATTCTCCAAACACCAGCTTGGTTGGCAACAGTGTTGAGTTAGGATACACATTGTTGAATCGTTGCCACATTGTTGAAGTGTCAACTAGGTTTCAAGGAGCACACATTGTCACATGCTAAATTAGGCAGACACACCACTGCCATATGGGGATGGACAGACGTGGTCTTAGCTAAGCCCACATGCTTGGTTCAGAAGATATAGAAAGACAGATGGCATGTAAACAGTACGCTAAGACTCAGACGGTAAGAGTGTTAGGGGCCCTAGCGCTCCTGCGGCAGACACGAGAACAGCCACCAGAGAGGAGAAGACCGAGACATAAGCCTAAGGAAAGCCGGTCCTTCTAACAAAAGCATCTGGTCCTTTTCTTATCAAATGAATGCCATGCTGTATAGAGGGTGAAAAAAGGCTTATGACCCCTTTGGAAAAACAACAGCTGTAAAAGGCTTGCTATAAAACCTTGTATATAGTAAGAAAGTGTTGTTGCTGGCCAAAACGGGTAACTAACGTTCATTACACATGATTAGATCAATACTTTACCTAACCCAAAGCAACTTGACCTGTGACACAGGGATAGCATGAAACTAGAGTATGACTACCATTGGCCAGAGAGAGAACATGACTGCCCTCTGACGTACTCTTACACATGTAGATGATCTGATTCGAGGTCATGGATTGGTCATTGTATCCTATTGGAGGGAATGATAGTACAGAGCATCGGCTGTGAACTTTGATGATCTGAGTCAGCCTTTTAATCCTGTGCCACTGCCTACAGAACAGCAGTAAATCAAAATACAAGGGCAGGATTAGCTAGTGACTTAATCTGGTACAGCATATTGGCTTATTCAGCTTTCTCAGAGTGGCAAGAATAGATCATTCTGTTCAATGCATTACTTCAAGTGTCTGAGTGCTCTCACCTCGTAGCATGTCCCAATAACCTATTCTATTTATACTTTCTATCACCCACAAAGCTTTTTAAAATAATTTACAAGTGGATAATTGAATGGCTACTCTATTTGTGTAGTTACTTCCTGAGTACCAGGGAAGACAGAGATTTATTTGAAAGCATCAATGGCAGACATACATCTATTTGTTTTGAGAAAGACATTTCTCTGGTGATTATTTTCAACATAATGAGAGTTTCCATTTAGGGGAGTGGAGACTTCGCTAATCTAGTTAGTATCTTTTCTCATACAAATCAACTCACCAACTAAGCTTACTGACTAATCTTAGTGGTTGGCTACATTTCACCCTCCTTCTCTCCCCAGTCAAAATCCAAAGAGGTAAACTAAAAACCTTATGTGCCTACCTTGTGGTATTACAAGAACAGGGTTGCCAACCCCTGAAAGCTGAGTCAAAGTAAACATGTCTTGACCTTTATTGCCATCTGGTGGTAGAGCTCTGAATTACTTCTGAATAGAGCTGTTGGTTGATAGGTACAAATGTATGTCTCTGACTCTGCATATTGGAATTTTAATGGTGAACTGAATAAGCAATTAACTGAATAAACAACAAACGAGTAAACAGAAACAGAACTTTCATCAATGTATACATTTATAATGTATACATGTCTCTGAATTTAAAATGTAATAAAGACTACCTTTGCCAGAGACGACTTCCTTTTCTATGCGCCATCGGAACCCAAACTGGTGGAAAAGTCATCCTCATTAATCACATAATACTAATAGAATACTATGTATGCACACTTACATAAACATAAATATCAAAATAGCACATACCTTGTTTTCTTTATATCTGCTTAGGTCAGCGATACAGTATTCTTTGAAGAGCTTGTCATAGTACTTCTTTGCTAGTTCTTTCTCCCTGATAATAAAAGAGCAGCTATTGGTGACCAATATTTCAAACAGTGGCAAATAAAAGTATTTTGTTTAACAGTACTTACCATGTCATTTCTTCTTCATCCTCATCCCGCCACAGGAAGCGATGGTTTTCACGCACCACGTCCAGGTCCGATTTATCATTGGCCCTTAGGTTTCCAATGAAAAATGACGTGTCAGTATTTTTTTCATATCACACAGAGATGTATCATTATGAAGATCTCTACTCCACATATTAGGCAACATTAAAAACAAAAGCAAAACTTACGTGGAGCGTCTGAGATCCTCCACCTTCCCTCCATAATACAATATGTAGTCACTGACAAACTTTTTATGTCTCTCAAACTGAAGGTAAATTGTTAGGGAATCAATTACAATAAAATCATGCATAAAAAGAAGGAACTGAATTAATGTGGCATCAATTAAAAATTAAAACATATATTGAACATTGTTGCTAGGTGAAGCACATTCAGGGATAACTTTGCTGCTATTCTGCCAGCTACACACTCCAAAACATGAATATTTAATCACAATGTACTCTAACTTGCAACGGGGGACCTTTTATAGTTTTCTTACTTGTGAAACCTCTATATCGTCAATTTAGAAGGATACAGCATTCATTGATATCAGGTGGTGACGTCTGTTTCTGGCTTCCTCCCTGCGTGGGAACACAAAACACTTGCAGTCACCAACAGAAAACATAATTGACGTCAGGCAACGATGCTTCATTATGAAAGAGACCTTTTACTGTACCTGTCATATTCATGAGTAGCAACATCCCTATGTGCCACCTTTGTGTGTCTTCCTTTCTGAAAGGGCTTCCGCAGTAGATCATCCTCACGTTTCCTGCAAGTCAACATTAATGACAAAACTAAAAGAATTTTTTACTCATCTGTGTTTATCTTGAAGTAGGCTAATTGTTTGGATTTGAGCTTAGATTGGTATATGGTCATCAGGCCCTTACCTTTTCACTCCACGTTGAGACGTCTCCCCATGGCCCTCGTCATCACTGAAGTCGGAGTCATACCCTCCGCCTCCATGGACCTGCAAGAAAAGTAATATTTCTGTCATCATGCCATATAGTTTGTGAGAGCTTCTTAGGGCCTCACGATAGTAGGCCTATAACCTATTGTTAAGCCATCAAGCATAGGTAGGCTAAATCTACAGAAATGGGAAAGGTAGCTAATGAAATATTCATTGTTTTGAAGCATAGAGGAAGTATGTGTGACTCATTGTAAGGTCAGCTTTATCAAATGGCCATCTCAGCAGACTGGAGGAAACATCACACCTGGGGTGCATTGCAGTGATCTCAACATCTGCAATGCGAAGGTCAGGATGTGGGGATGAATTGGTTCGGATGCTGTTTTGTCAACCTTGTGTTTATATCAGTAACTACATTTGACATATAGCAAGGAATTGATCATTTGGGGAGAAATTGGCATTCTCACTTTACTTTGACTCTGGCTAGAGAGTTAACGTTCGCCCAAATGTAATAACAAGTGAACTTGCTTGCTAGCTTTAGCTACTTGCTGTTGATCATGGCCATTGCTGGCAACAATATGCATTTTTTTTAGGGCAAGGTATATAAGTAACGTTAGCTAGCGTTGTCTCCGAGGTTCCACACAATGGGTAACCTGCAGCTAGCCATATAACGTTAGCATTGAAGCCAGCATATGACTGTTGACTAGGTCCAGATACAGCTAGATATGAATGAAACAAATGGATCGAGTATAAATACACTATAAAGTAGTCCTTTTTGTCTGACCTAAGATAAAGTCGAGATACAACTACCTTTACGAGACTGTCCATATTTCTCGCCATGCTCACGATTAGCCTACGGTTTGTTTACATGGACAAAGTCTTCTTCTTCTTCGGATTGGCGGATCGCATCCCACTTTTAAGGTGCATACACCGCCACCTACTGTACTGGAGTGTGAGGCCAGTCACAGCCTACCTACATTAAATTATCTTCATTACTCCTGTTCCTCTAAGAAAGTGAAATAGAGCCCTAGACACATTTACATTTAAGTCATTTAGCAGACGCTCTTATCCAGAGCGACTTACCACTTCCCTCCCCTTTCCTCCCCCCACTACACCACCCAAACCCCAACCCTGTCCAACATCTCTAACCCATTTACACAATCTCTCACTATCTATGTCATACAGTTCACAAAATATCAACACATGCTTTCCGTTTCCTCCACTAAACACTCATCACACAGCCCTGTTCCATGTCTTCCTATCATCCACAACGTGGCATTCAAACATGTGTGCCCAAACCGTAGTCTACTCCACACAACTTCCTCTCTCCTACATCCCATGCTCCCCACCTCTTCCTTAACTGACCAGTGCACACGATAAAATCGCCTGCCCTTACTACTAGCATCCCACTCCCTTTGCCAAAGATCTAGCCCTTTTGCACCGACCAAGGACTTGACTACCCTGCGGCCCAAACGGGACCTGAATATCTACACCCTCTCTCCTCACCGCACTCTTAGCCACCACATCAAACCTTCTCATTCCCCTCCACACCCACATGGGCGGGAACCCAGCAAAAGCTTACCACCACTCCCATCCTCTCTGATCCCATTAACAGCCTCATCATCTCCACAAACAAGTCTCCCCTATCCAACCTGCCCGTCTTCACACTACTCAACAATGCAGCCGAATCAGAGCAGATCACCACTCAGTGGTTTCACCTCCTCCACCAATCTCAAACCTATAATCATGTCCATCAACTCGGCTGCATACACTGACACATAATCAGTTAACCGCTTACATACACTAACATTGAAATCTGGGATATACACCCCTGCCCCCACCCTACCACTGACTGGATCCTTTGAACCATCTGTATTTATCCTTAAAAACGAATAAATCTGATTATCTACAGTATACGGTCGTGGTCAAAAGTTTTGAGAATGACACAAATCCAAATTTTCACAAAGTCTGCTGCCTCAGTTTTGATGATGTCAATTTGCATATACTCCAGAATGTCATGAAGAGTGAGCAGATGAATTGCAATTAATTGCAAAGTCCCTCTTTGCCATGAAAATGAACTTAATCCCCAAAAAACATTTCCAATGCATTTCAGCCCTGCCACAAAAGGACCAGCTGCCATCATGTCAGTGATTCTCTTGTTAACACAGGTGAGAGTGTTGACGAGGACAAGGCTGGAAATCACTCTGTCATGCTGATTGAGTTAGAATAACAGACTGGAAGCTTTAAAAGGAGGGTGGTGCTTGAAATCATTGTTCTTCCTCTGTTAACCATGGTTACCTGCAAGGAAACACGTGCCGTCATCATTGCTTTGCACAAAAAGGGCTTCACAGGCAAGGATATTGCTGCTAGTAAGATTGCACCTAAATCAACCATTTATCGGATCATCAAGAACTTCAAGGAGAAGGCATCAGGGCGCCCAAGAAAGTCCAGCAAGTGCCAGGACCATCTCCTGAAGTTGATTCAGTTGCGGGATCAGGGCACCACCAGTGCAGAGCTTGCTCAGGAATGGCAGCAGGCAGGTGTGAGTGCATCTGCACGTACAGTGAGGCGAAGACTTTTGGAGGATGGCCTGGTGTCAAGAAGGGCAGCAAAGAAGCCACTTCTCTCCAGGAAAAACATCAGGGACAGACTGATATTCTGCAAAAGGTACAGGGATTGGACTGCTGAGGACTGGGGTAAAGTCATTTTCTCTGATGAATCCCCTTTCCGAATGTTTGGGGCATCCGGAAAACACCTTGTCCGGAGAAGACAAGGTGAGCGCTACCATCAGTCCAGTGTCATGCCAACAGTAAAGCATCCTGAGACCATTCATGTGTGGGGTTCTCAGCCAAGAGAGTGGGCTCACTCACAATTTTGCCTAAGAACACAGCCATGAATAAAGAATGGTACCAACACATCCTCCGAAAGCAACTTCTCCCAACCATTCAAGAACAGTTTGGTGATGACCAATGCCTTTTCCAGCATGATGGAGCACCTTGCCATAAGGCAAAAGTGATAACTAAGTGGCTCTGGGAACAAAACATCAACATTTTGGGTCCATGGTCAGGAAACTCCCCAGACCTTAATCCCATTGAGAACTTGTGGTCGATCCTCAAGAGGCAGGTGGACAAACAAAAACCCACAAATTCTGACAAACTCCAAGCATTGATTATGCAAGAATGGGCTGCCATCAGTCAGGATGTGGCCCAGAAGTTAATTGACAGCATGCCAGGGCGGATTGCAGAGGTCTTGAAAAAGAAGGGTCAACACTGCAAATATTGACTCTTTGCATAAACTTAATGTAATTGTCAATAAAAGCCTTTGATACTTATGGAATGCTTGTAATTATACTTCAGTATACCACAGTAACATCTGACAAAAATATCTCATAACACTGAAGCAGCGAACTTTGTGAAGATCAAAACTTTTGACCACGACTGTATATATCTCCACACACAGTCTCACGTCCTCATCCCATTCTCTCATACCCTCATATCATATCCACATCTGCACTTGGTTTCGTAAACAGCCACGGAGGAACGTTCCCCAATGCAATTACCGGCCCTATCTCTCTCTCCCCCAGTCCATATTCTACCACTTTCTGCCCAATTGTCCACCGGTAGTAGGAGGTTCCTCAGAGGAGGAAGGGGAGGACCATCCTCCTCAGTGAATTTCATAAAAATGAAAATGTCAAAATATTGATAAAACTATACTAAATATATTCAAGTCACCAAATAATTGATTAAAACATACTGTTTTGCAATGAAGGTCTACAGTAGCCTCAACAGCACTCTGTAGGGTAGCACCATGGTGTAGCCGGAGGACAGCTAGCTTCCGTCCTCCTCTTGGTACATTGGCTTCAATACAAAACCTAGGAGGCTCTTGGTTCTCACCCCCTTCCATAGACTTACATAGTAATTATGACAACTTCCGGAGGACGTCCTCCAACCTATCAGAGCTCTTGCAGCATGAACTGACATGTTGTCCACCCAATTAAAGGATCAGAGAACGAATCCAGTACTGAAAGCATAAGCTACAGCTAGCTAGCACTGCAGTGCATAAAATGTGGTGAGTAGTTGACTCAAAGAGAGAGAAAGACAATAGTTGAACAGTTTTGAACAAATTAATTTCTTTAAAAATGAAGGAGAAGCAAGAGAGATCTCATTTTTTTTCACTTTCAGTTTTACTTACTTAGCTAGCAAATGCAGCTGGCTAGTTTAGTTAGTAAAACACCCGGCTCAAACAGAGGGATGCTATGTTAGCTAGCTGGCTATGACTATCCAACACAATACTTGAACTCTTCCAAGTCATGGTAAGCTTTTGGTTTGATAAATGTATTGCCAATTTGTCCAATAGAAACTCTTGTTTGCAACTGTTGGACTAATGATTACACTCTAGATAAGGTAGATACAGGCAAGAGTGTGCAAGGCGGTATTGAATGTGTCACTGTCTGTCATCTCACATTTTTCTCTCGAACTGTGTGCACCTACGTTGTAAACTTTCATTCATAGGCTAGGTTGTAGCAACCTCATGATGGGTATAGCGGAAATTTTAGTATCATGTAGTAGCCTAAACCTATCGATGTTACATTGAACTGGGTGAATGGAATATGAATGACAGTCATTCAACATCCTCTAATAGAAATAAGGACATGCTCATGAAAAAGAAAATCGTCCTCCCTCATCATAAACGGCACTGACCGCCACTAAATATATGGCCTGGAGAACGTGCGGCACACAAAAAGAAAGGTGGATTAAATGTATTTCTAACAGTGAACTGCCACAACCATTGATATATATAAACACCATTGGCCACAACCAAAGTGACAGGGCAGGTCCTATCCAAATCAAAGAATGTTTCCAACAAATGTGATGCTGGAATCAAACCATAGCCTAATACCGAATACACAAGATACATCAGATATTCAGGTGCTGATTTGATTAATAAAAGAAAAGTTGTTTTTGAAAAAAATAAAAGAAGTAGCGAATATGAAGAGAAACTGAAATACTGTAGGCCCCTAGTCTATTTTGAACATGCACACACAGAGAAATCCAGCCAAGTACCTCAACTCCTCCACGACGTTGAGATCAGACTATTAATAAACTTCAGACTCGTTTGAGTCACTATGCAGTCGATACTTAAATTCGAATTCTTAAACCCTTATCGTGTCCCAGAGGAGGCTGGTGGGAGGTGATATAGGAGGACGAGCTCATTGTAATAGCTGGAATTAAATGGAATGGTATCATCCTGTATATGTGGAAGCCACATGTTTGACGCTGTTCCATTCCAGCCATTCCAATGAGCCGTCCTCCTATAGCTCCTCCCACCAGCTTCAACTGCACAGTATGTACCTACAATATGTGTCCTCTGTTGTTGCGTGCCTTTCTTTGTTTGCTAAAATCCAAACTTTTTAAAGGGACAATCCACCCCAAACCACGAATTCCTATGATTAACAGTGTTAAACAGTGTAAAATAACACTAATATGTGAAAACATTATTTTTTGTGTAGGGAAATGGGGTGGAGAAGTAACCATTAATCATATCTGCTATCTGCCTGTACTTCTGTGGCCTCATAGATTCCATTACAGATTCCATTACAGATTCCGTTATACCAAATGGGAACAATTGATCTCTTATTCTTCTGAATACTGTAATTGAAGTCATCGGAAAATGGTGGGGTAGTAGGGGTGAACTTTTCCAGTCTTGAACAGAACTCCACTGTTATTGGGGTTGATCCCCCATTAAACTCAACAAAAAGACACAGCATGTGATTCAGTATGTTCGCTGTGAGCTACAAAGAAAAAAAACATTTGGTTGAGCACAGAAATGTAACTGGTAAGCAGACTGGTAGAGCCAGCTGGGAACAAAACTGATTAAAATACGAAAAAAAATGTTGGGGGGGGGATAATATTATATTAGCTGCATCATATTACATAGGCTATTATAATGTTCTTGTTATTATGATTCGGTTTTTGATTATATTGTTATTAGCCTACCGTAAAACTTAAATTAATCACTGAGTCTCAAATAGCTGCATGTCCCTTTTAATAGCCGCGATATGGCACAGATTTCAGCAAATAAACGCCTGTTTCAAATAAACGTTGGGTCTAAATGAATTGTTTACGAGGTTACCATGAATTACCATTAATTGTTTACAAGGTTTAATGTTTGATTTAGTAATTAATTCAGTAATGACTCGAAAAAAGGATGGCAATCATCAGTTGTTATTGCCAGTAAGAAACTGCTAGCCATTGGCTGCTAACAGCTGAGAACTGCTAGCTAAATGGCAAGTACAAAAACAGTCAACCACCTCGGGAGTACAGAACCCCTTGAAATCGGCAAATCGCCCTCTAGTGGCGAAAGTATGAACTGCCGACAATGCACAGTCAAAGAGGAGAATAATTATTGTAAACGAAAAGTTTTTGTTGTTGAAATAGAGGCATACTAAGACAAAATAAATGTGACAGTGTGTAAATGATAACACATTAAGTGCAGGAAATGAAGAAATTGATTAAAATGCTGGAAGTGAATGCTGGATTTAAACAATGAACTATGCAAATGACCAATGCAATGACCCTACCCCATTGAAGTTGAAATTTTAAATGGTTAAGGTAAAGGTTAAGGTTAGCTAAGGATTATGGTTAGGGTAAGGGTAGGGGTTAAATTGAGGGTTTAGGGTAGGGATGTCCCAAGGATTCCAGACAGCACTGACCGTTTCCACAGACCCTCCTAAGGAATAGGCCGTTCTGCATTAAACATTCATGGCTTTCATGTGCGCATAAATAATAGCCTGCGCCCCGGTTGTGACTAGAAGGAGTACAGCTACGACTGGAAGTGACTTTTCGTAGCTGGTTAGAAGAGCATTTTAGCTAACCCTAACCCTTTACCTAATCTTAACCTAATTATGCTATCCTGCTACATTAATTATCCTAACTTGCTGTGTAAGTTATCCTAACCTAATACAGTAGCTGTATAGATGCCACGTTCAAAACAACTGGGAACTCTTAAAAATACGAGGTCAAATCATGATGTCAGTGATCTTCAGGTCGGAAAGTCGTAGCTCTAGAAAGAGGCCTGAGTTCCTGAGTTGGAATTCCGAGTTGGATGACCGTTCAAACCGTTTTTTCCCCAGTCAGAGCTTGCTTTTTCAGAGTTCTCAGTTGTTTTGAACGCAGCAAGAGTACCACAGTATGAGTCATAATACACATAAAACCTAGCGGTCAAACGGGGAAATGGTTCCAATCGTTTTTTCCACCATTCATTTTTCCCATATTTTTTTTTTTTTTTTTTAGAAACACTTCAAATGTGCGTTACGTGTAGGCTTACCCTGGTGTGACGTTTTGATAACCGTGTAAATCTCTCTAGGACAAGGTGACTTATCAATATATTCGCCTGTATTTACCCCCCCCCCCCCCAAAAAAAAAAAGGCTGCTAATGAGGCTATCATAAAGAACTACAAATGCCATGATGATCTGGACAAGCCTGCCGAATCAAGGCAAAGGCAATAATCTCTGGATTAACTATCTAATGTTAGCTAAATGTAGAATAAGTGGCTACATTTCTTTAAATTGACAATTCTGTTAACTGTCTTGTGCAAGTTTTAAATTGACAATACCAGTTAGCAAAGGTGTAAGCTAGAGATGATGTGCAGTAGCTTGCAGGGATTTGTAGTCTTGCATGAAGTCTACTTTTATGCTAATTAGCATTTTAGAATCTGAGAGTAAATAGAGCCGAATATCTTGATAAGTAACCTTGTCGGAGAGAGATTTACATGGTTATCGAAACAACATGCCAGGGTAAGCCTATACCAAACACAGCCCTTGTTTTAAGTGTTTCTAAAGTCCCCTATGGAAAAAATGAATGGTGAAAAAACGATTGCAACCATTTTCCTGTTTGACAGCTAGGTGTTATGGGTATTATGACACCTCCACTGTGGGGCTCTATACCACCTAGTCATAAAAATAAGCGCCACTCTGCGTGCTCTCTCCAGGGACTGAGGCTTTCATCGTTTCTTATATATATGCACGAGCCAAATAGATGCTCAGTCAGACCTTCATAATAAAACACAGAGCCAGCCTAGTTGTTACAAAAAATTACAATATAAAATTTTGTAGCCTACATTGGGTACATTTTAACTTTTGGAATGACAACGTATTTTGGAGGATTTTAATCCGTCCAAGGATCGGCGAGCTTTGTCTTATTTTCCCTGTCCTGCATTTAAATACTGCGCCTTGCAGAACGAATCTTTTGGATGAGTGCCTGGTCATTGAGATACAAGCTGCATACATCACTGCTTAACTCGAAGCAAATACAGACATTCACGATTTGACATTGAAACATTTGAAGTTTGGATGTTTAATTGAGGTTCATGTTCAGAAATATTCGACGGACTGGTTGTCACCAGAGAGCACCAAAAGGATGGGATATGGAAACAAAACCCTGAAAGAATGCACGGTCTTGCTTTGCGTTGCCAGCGTCCTGCTTTTAGCAGAGAGCAGAAGAGTGAAGCAACGTAGATGCCCCGCATCTTGTATGTGCACCAAAGATAATGCATTGTGTGAAAATATGAAATCGGTCCCTCACAGCTTTCCACCTGATGTCTTTTCCTTGTAAGTGCTTGGAATTAATATTTTAAAATTATTTCAATCATAATATTGGCAATGGCATTATGATGGGGATATCGTATGATCTCTCTTTGTCGAGTATTTTGAAGATGTTGAATGGAATAAATAACACCACAAATAAAGCAGCTAATTGAAATAATGCAGGGCTACAATCAAATTAAATGGTTGATATCTTTTCAATAACATGAATCTATGTTCTGCTATATTGCCTCATTTCTTTTGTACCATGTTTCTATTCAGATCTTTTGTCAAGTCTGGATTCACCGAACTCACTGGAGGAAGCTTCTTAAACACTCCAGCGCTACATCTTCTGTGAGTTTGACGTTACTCAACGACGTTGTATAATATATGTTAACATGATGGTCCATGTGCATTAACAAAGCACAGCTCTGCTCCCTCAGAGGAAGAGCAGAATTATGTAATAACACACTACATGAACTTAGTGGGGCGTAGGATGTTGGCTGCTGAGCTGAAACAAAAATTGCTCAATGAAATGAAACCAAAAACTTTTCTCGGAATATTGTTAATCCATTACAGTAAATCTATTGTCTGAGGACCCACCCATAGCTCACCAGGAAAACATGCATCTTGGCATGGTGGTTTCCCTCATGCCTAATGATGCAAACTGATTCAGAGTTTGTGGAAAATATTAATAATACTGAATAGGCTATGCTATGACAAGTTTGTTGGGACCACCTATGTTATTGTTAGAAGCTTGTGAAACAGAGTTGTTTTGGAAACGTAGATTAAGAAAACATTACAAGCGTGAACAGAAGGATTAGGCTACATGAAAAAATGTTTTGCAGTGGGTTGCTTGGAAACTCAACCACAATGTGAAATATTTATATTCAAGTGTGAGTAAAAACAAAAATGTGACAGAGTGCTGGTTATAGAAATTATAGAATGTAAACTATTTTTTTAACAGCCTATTCACTGCCAACACGTTTGACTCAATTGATGAGGATGCATTCCTGGGTCTACCGCATCTGGAGTACCTGTGAGTTGTACTCTCTCTAATGGATAAGATCCTCAAATGCATCATATGATGATTAAATCTCAAAATATGTTATTACATGTTAACTTCATTCACAGGTTTATCGAAAACAACAAAATTGCATCAATATCACAACACGCATTCCGGGGCCTAAAAGCACTCATACATCTGTAAGTATAAGAATGTCCTTTTTTACTTTTTTACAATTCGAAATCAAGGAAAATGTGTTAGAACAATGGCCTTGTGGCATTTGCATATTGTGTTAACCATACTTGAAAACCAGAGATTGGACAAGTCAATATTATTCAAGTCACAAGCAAGTATCAAGGTATGAGTCTCAAGTTGAGTCCAAAGTAGAACGGGTCGAGTCTCGAGTCAAGTCCAAGACCCGCATTCTAAGAGTCCAGTCACATGTTTTTTGATGTCAAGTCTCAAATCAAGCAACCAAAAAAAATGTATACATGCAATGACTTGTTCAAATACAAATCTTTGTCAATTGAGGCTACCAGACAGCCCTTTTCATTATTTTGTCTACAACACATTTTGATTATGTAATAATTCATTTTAACAACAAATTCCAAATGCAAGCTTCATAAGTAAATGATCAATTTCAAGCAATTTTGACTTACCAAAAGAACAGTAGGCCTATGCTAGTAATTGTTGCTTGATGCCACATTGCTGGTGAGATTGCAAAGTAAACATTTAGCCTGATATTCTTGATCACCAAGCTGCATACAGTGAGGGAAAAAAGTATTTGATCCCCTGCTGATTTTGTTCGTTTGCCCACTGACAAAGAAATGATCAGTCTATGATTTTAATGGTAGGTTTATTTGAACAGTGAGAGACAGAATAACAACAAAAAAATCCAGAAAAACGCATGTCAAAAATGTTATAAATTGATTTGCATTTTAATGTGAGAAATAAGTGTTTGACCCCCTCTCAATCAGAAAGATTTCTGGCTCCCAGGTGTCTTTTATACAGGTAACGAGCTGAGATTAGGAGCACAAGGGAGTGCTCCTAATCTCAGCTTGTTACCTGTATAAAAGACACCTGTCCACAGAAGCAATCAATCAATCAGATTCCAAACTCTCCACCATGGCCAAGACCAAAGAGCTCTCCAAGGATGTCAGGGACAAGATTGTAGACCTACACAAGGCTGGAATGGGCTACAAGACCATCGCCAAGCAGCTTGGTGAGAAGGTGACAACAGTTGGAGTTGCAATAATCATGAGAACGGTGAGGAATCAGCCCAGAACTACACAGGAGGATCTTGTCAATGATCTCAAGGCAGCTGGGACCATAGTCACCAAGAAAACAATTGGTAACACACTACGCCGTGAAGGACTGAAATCCTGCAGCACCCGCAAGGTCCCCCTGTTCAAGAAATCACATATACAGGCCCGTCTGAAGTTTGCCAATGAACATCTGAATGATTCAGAGGAGAACTGGGTGAAAGTGTTGTGGTCAGATGAGACCAAAATCGAGCTCTTTGGCATCAACTCAACTCGCCGTGTTTGGAGGAGGAGGAATGCTGCCTATGACCCCAAGAACACCATCCCCACCGTCAAACATGGAGGTGGAAACATTATGCTTTGGGGTTGTTTTTCTGCTAAGGGGACAGGACAACATTAACCGCATCAAAGGGACGATAGACAGGGCCATGTACCGTCAAATCTTGGGTGAGAACCTCCTTCCCTCAGCCAGGGCATTGAAAATGGGTCATGGATGGGTATTCCAAGGCAACAAAGGAGTGGCTCAAGAAGAAGCACATTAAGGTCCTGGAGTGGCCTAGCTAGTCTCCAGACCTTAATCCCATAGAAAATCTGTGGAGGGAGCTGAAGGTTGCCAAACGTCAACCTCGAAACCGTAATGACTTGGAGAAGATCTGCAAAGAGGAGTGGAACAAAATCCCTCCTGAGATGTGTGCAAACCTGGTGGCCAACTACAAGAAACGTCTGAACTCTGTGATTGCCAACAAGGGTTTTGCCACCAAGTACTAGGTCATGTTTTGCAGAGGGGTCAAATACTTATTTCCCTCATTAAAATGCTAATCAATTTATAACATTTTTGACATGCGTTTTTCTGGATTTTTTGGTTGTTATTCTGTCTCTCACTGTTCAAATAAACCTACCATTAAAATTATAGACTGATCATGTCTTTCTCAGTGGGCAAACATACAAAATCAGCAGGGGATCAAATACTTTTTTCCCAAACTGTATGGCAATCCTCTCTCCCTACAATTTGATGTTTGCGCTGCACCCGATCCTACAGCTGTACAGCAAATCAGCAATCTGTTCGCTAGCTCATAGGTTCTCCAACTTTTTGACCCGCAACCCCTAAAAAGGAGTGTTTCAAAGCTTGCGACTCCCACGCACGTACATGCATGCGTGCACAGGGCGAACAAGCGCGCACAATCGCTGCGTAAATGTAGCCTGTCATTACAGCCGTAAAGGTGATACATTTTAAAAACGAAGATACAGAAATAAACTAAGTTTTACACCAGTATATTGAGCTGAAAGTCATTCATGTTAGCAGTCAATATCAACTAGGGATATCATGTCACCGTCTACCTGTAGCCTATACAGCAGAGGTTGAGGGTCAGATGGAAAGCATGGTCTGTCTGTAACTATTTCTTCCTCACAAATATCGTAATTTATTTAATATGTTACATCTTCATCCTATAAGTATTGAAGGCAGTGCGATGCTACAATTATCTTTAGACATATAGCCAGGTCCCGCCACTGAGGTACAGTTGAAGTCGTAAGTTTACATACACCTTAGCCAAATACATTTAAACCGTTTTTCACAATTCCTGACATTTAATCCTAGTAAAAATTCCCTGTCTTTGGTCAGTTAGGATCACCACTTTATTTTAAGAATGTGAAATGTCAGAATAATAGTAGAAAGTGATTTATTTCAGATTTTATTTATTTCATCACATTCCCAGTGGGTCAATTAGTTAATTAGTATTTGGTAGCATTGCCTTTAAATTGTTTAACTTGGGTCAAACGTTTCGGGTAGCCTTCCACAAGCTTCCCACAATAAGTTGGGTGAATTTTGGCCTATTCCTCCTGACAGAGCTGTTGTAACTGAGTCAGGTTTGTAGGCCTCCTTGCTCGCACACGCCTTTTCAGTTCTGCCCACACATTTTCTATAGGATTGAGGTCAGGGCTCTGACTGATGTCTTGAGATGTTGCTTCAATATATCCACATAATTTTCCTTCCTCATGATGCCATCTATTTTGTGAAGTGCACCAGTACCTCCTGCAGCAAAGCACCCCCACAGCATGATGCTGCCACCCCCGTGCTTCACGGTTGGGATGGTGTTCTTCGGCTTGCAAGCTATCCCCTTTTTCCTCTAAACATAACGATGGTCATTATGGCCAAACAGTTCTATTTTTGTTTCATCAGACCAGAGGACATTTCTCCAAAAAGTACGATCTTTGTCCCCATGTGCAGTTGCAAACCGTAGTCTGGCTTTTTTATGAGCGGCCTTTCAGGTTATGTCGATATAGGACTCGTTTTACTGTGGATATAGATACTTTTGTACCTGTTTCCTCCAGCATCTTCACAAGGTCCTTTGCTGTTGTTCTGGGATTGATTTGCACTTTTCGCACCAAAGTACGTTAATCTCTAGGCGTCTCCTTCCTGAGCGGTATGACGGCTGCGTGATCCCATGGTGTTTATACTTGCGTACTATTGTTTGTACAGATGAACGTGGAACCTTCAGGCGTTTGGAAATTGCTCCCAAGGATGAACCAGACTTGTGGAGGTCTACAATTGCTTTCTGAGGTCTTTTGATTTTCCTATGATGTCAAGCAAAGAGGCACTGAGTTTGAAGGTAGGCCTTGAAATACATCCACAGGTACACCTCCAATTGACTCAAATGATGTCAATTAGCCTATCAGAAGCTTCTAAAGCCATGACATCATTTTCTAGAATTTTCCAAGCTGTTTAAAGGCACAGTCAACTTAATGTATGTAAACTTCTGACCCACTGGAATTGTGATACAGTGAATTATAAGTGAAATAATCTGTCTGTAAACAATTGTTGGAAAAATTACTTGTGTCATGTCCTAACCGACTTGCCAAAACTATAGTTTGTTAACAAGAAATTTGTGGAGTGGTTATAAAACGAGTTTTAATGACTCCAACCTAAGTGTATGTACATTTCTGACTTCAACTGTATATAATTAACCCACCCAGGGCCTATCTGAAATATGAAAATGATCAATGAAATCACCAGATAGCCTATTGTTCTGGCAAAGATGTGTCCGTGTCACGATCGTCGTATTGAACAGACCAAGGCGCAGCGTGATGAACGAACATGTTTAACTTTATTATCTTTAGTGATAATAGACACAATCAACAAAACAAGAAACGACTCGTAAAGTCCACGGTAACAATGACCAACACGGAACAAGAACCCACAAACACAAAGGGAAAACAGACAGTTTAAATATGGCTCCCAATCAGAGACAACCAACGACAGCTGACACTCGTTGCCTCTGATTGGGAGTCACTCTGGCCAACATAGAAATAAACACAACAGAAAGAACACACCCTGGCTCAACCTATAGAGTCCCAGAGCCAGGGTGTGACAGTACCCCCCCCTAAAGGCGCGGACTGCGACCGCGCCTCAACTTGAACAAAACAGGGGAGGGCTGGGTGGGCATTCCTCCTCGGCGGCGGTTCTGGCTCCGGCCTTGCCCACCACCCTCCAATAAACCCCCCATAGCGCCCCTGGTCCAGTCTGGCCCCGCTGGCTGGAGCTGAACTGGACGTAGCAGGAGCGGTTAGCTTCAGCTCCGTAGTGGAGCAGTTGACCGGTACCTTACCAGGCACCGGTGACCCAGGCACAGGTTGTGCTGGACTGACGACGCGCACCCCGGGCTTAGTGCGTGGAGGAGGAACGGGCCTTACCAGGCTGACGACGCGCACCCCTGGCCTGGTGCGTGGAGGAGGAACGGGCCTTACCAGGCTGACGACTCGCACCCCTGGCTTGGTGCGTGGAGGAGGGACGGGCCTTACCAGGCTGACGACTCGCACCCCTGGCTTGGTGCGTGGAGGAGGAACGGGCCTTACCAGGCTGACGTCTCGCACCCCTGGCTTAGTGCGAGTGGCAGGGACAGGCCGGACCGGGCTGGCGACGCACACCGTAGGCTTGGTGCGTGGACCAGGGACAGGCCGGACTGGGCTGGCGACGCACACCGTATGCTTGGTGCGTGGAGCAGGGACAGGCCGGACTGGGCTGGCGACGCACACCGTAGGCTTGGTGCGTGGAGCAGGAACAGGCCGGACTGGGCTGACGACGCACCCCGTAGGCTTGGTGCGTGGAGCAGGGACAGGCCGGACCGGGCTGGCGACGCATACCGTAGGCTTGGTGCGAGGAGCAGGGACAGGCCGGACCGGGCTGGCGACGCGCACCGTACACTTGGTGCGAGGGGCCGGAACAGGCCGGACCGTACTGGGGACACACACCACTGGCTCTACCTCGGGATCTGGAACGGGCCGGACCGGACTGGTAACACACCCCAGTACCTCTCGCCGTGCCTCTACACCTTCCTTCCCTGCTTTGACCATTGGCCCCCGTAACCTGGTGGCCTTCTGAATCCGACCCTTTTCTGCCTCCGTCAGCCCCGTCGTCCATGCCGTGTGCCCCCCCTAAAAATGTTCTGGGGTTGCCTCTCGCCTGTCCGACGTTGACACTGCTGACGCCGCTGCTCCTCTTTCGCCAGGGCCTCTCCTGGCGCTTCCTCCCATGTCCAGTCCAAGTTCTGCCCCGGGACACGCTGCTTGGTCCTTACTTGGTGGGTTCTTCTGTCACGATCGTCAGGGAGAGACCAATGTGCAGCGTGTTGAACGAACATGGTATTTATTATCTTCAGTGATAACATACACAACCAACAAAACAACAAACGACTCATAACGTCCTCGGTAACAATGACCAACACGGAACAAGAACCCACAAACACAAAGGGAAAACAGACAGTTTAAATATGGCTCCGAATCAGAGACAACCAACGACAGCTGACACTCGTTGCCTCTGATTGGGAGTCACTCTGGCCAACATAGAAATAAACACAACAGAAAGAACACACCCTGGCTCAACCTATAGAGTCCCAGAGCCAGGGTGTGACAGTCCGTAGCAGATTGCTAAACTGTATTTTATATGGATAATATGAACACAGGCTACTCAGTTTTTTGACAGGCAAAATCAGAGAAAATGAAACAAGTGCTTTCTGGTCACTAATCTGGATATGTGCGCCCTGCCTTTGCACGCCAATGCTGATGACTGGTCATTGGTCAAAAGTCAAGTCATGCAACTTTTTGGTTCTGAAGCACTGATTAGATGTTTTTGAAACAAGAATTTGGTCCAATGCTGTAGGACTGTGTTACTGACCTAATCAAATAAGAAAAGGTATACAAATAAAATACATGGTAGGATATATGTAGCCTATTAAAACATGAAAAACTCACAACCCCTGTCTAGCTCACCTGACCTGAGTTGATTGACAATTTGCTGGTCCAATCAGAGGGCCAAGTGTGCGTTTCACTAGCCAATCTGTTGCATGTTTCTTTTGCCAGCGTAATGCTGCAGCTACTGTCTCTGGCTGCATGGAGAGTAATAAAGTGTGCCACAAAATGAATAACAAAACATTACAAAACCTGGCCAGATAATTTAAAGTCATCAGTCTCAAGTCAAAGTTGAGTCCCAAGTCTTGAGTTTCCAAGTCAAGTCTAAAGTTATTTTATTTTATATAAAGTCCAGTCTCAAGTCATCAAATTTGTGACTTGAGTCAGACTCAAGTCAAAGTCATGTGACTCGAGTCCACACCTCTGTTGCTTTTCCCGTGATGCATAGCATTATCAAAACCATTGTTCATTAAGGCCCCCCATAGGCACATTCAAATATTAAGCTAATGTACCTCAGTGGTGCCCACTTTATCGTTGTCAAAACTGCATAGGATGCAAGTCCTATTCCAGTGATATTAAACCAGGTTAGCCTCCCTCACTTCTGCCATATCAAGTTGCCAAAGGATACTGTGGTGGGTCTAGTATCACAAGTAAACTTGGTGACCTCGCTGACTGGGAATACTTCCAGTTTTCACATCAGAATATTTGCATTAGACACTCAAAAAACCCTTGAAATCCAAATAGTGTATATGTTAAAAAATATTGGTTTTACTTATCATGTGACCATCAATCAGTATGACTTGACAACACTCTGAAAAGCTAATACACTCCTTTCTATTGAAAAAAAAGACAAACATGAGTGGATATATGAGTTTGCCCAATTTATTCTAAGAATGTATCTCCTTTCACTATTTTCAGTAGAGTACTGTGTACTCTTGAAAATCTAATTATAACCAAGACTGATGTGACCTGGGGGGCAAAACTAAATATATCTGCTCTGTAACCTTAAACTCTGCTCCTTACTCATTCTGTCTGGACTGAAGTGACGGTCAGGGCCCATCCAGTGCTGAGTTCCAAGAACGGCTCTTTTTGGAAGTCAGCCACAATATATTGTGTTGATTCAGGACATACTGTATTTTGTAGTCTAAAACACATCATTTTCCTCTTTTTTAATCAGGAGCCTGGCCTATAATAACCTGGGTACATTACCCAAAGATGTTTTCAAGGGCATGGATGCTTTGGCTAAAGTGTGAGTATTTTTTTTCTTCTTCGCATAACCAGCGGCTTAATGGGCAACGTCACAATCTAAAGTGTACTTACGTTAAACAAAAAAGTTTTCATTTTCATTCAAAATATTCAGGTTTTGATTTATGCATACTTTGGTAACCTGTTTTACCAGGGATCTGAGAGGGAACAACCTGCAATGTGACTGCAAACTAAAGTGGCTGGTGGAGTGGATGCATACCACTAATACGATGGTTGATCAGATCCCCTGCAGTGGGCCCACGCTTTTCCAAGGGAAACTGATCAATGACCTTGTGCCCGGGTCTTTCGATTGCATAACTGCAGGTGATTGGTGCAATTCTTATTTCACACCTTGCAATGTTAATCTCCTTAACCACTGCTGTCTCATGATATTCAGTAGTGGCCATTTCAATGAAATGCAATACACAACAGACTCAGACTGCTAGTCAGGATAAAGTGAAAATGATAACACTAATACTGTAGAGCAGGACTGCCCAACCCTGTTTCTGGAGAGCTACCGTCCTGTAGATTTTTTGCTCCAACCCTAATCTAGCATACCTGATTCAAATAATTAGCAGGTTGATAAAATGAATCAGGTTAGTAACACCTGGGGTTGGAGCGAAAACCAACAGGAGGGTAGCTCTCCAGGAACAGGGTTGGGCTACCCTGGTGTAGAGATTGTACCTACAGTAGCCTACAGAACACTAAAACAGTAACCAAGGAAGAATGCCAGTAATGTTGCCTTCTCTGGTAGTGATGTTAATCCTTGTCAACTTCGACTTCAAGTCATCTGCCCTGGTCTCTTTGTGTACCGCTGACCCAATCTTCGGGCTACCCAAGAGGAAATTCAGGCAAAAAGGAGTCAGAAGAGCGTGCATCCTGGTGGGACTAAGGCGAAGGGAAAACCGGCCACCACTTCCCTTTCTACTATTGGCCACTTAATAATAAGATGGAAGACTGATCACGGATTTGCTATCAACAGGACTCTCGTAACTGCAATATTCTGTTTTTCTGAAACATGGCTTTCGGATCCCCCACAGCTATCCAACTCGATGGATTCTCCATTCACCGAGCGTACAGGACATTGGATTCAGGGAAATCCAGAGGAGGAGGAGTATGTCTCTTCATCAACAACAACAACCTATTGTTCACCCATCTTGGAATTTCCACAATGGTGAAATGCCGACCCTTCTACTTCTTGAGAGAGTTTTCATCATGACTGCTGTATATATTCCAGGACAACCACAACAACAAGCTGGCACTTAACGAACTGTACGAGGCTGCTTTTCTTGTTGCCTGTAATTGTATTTCCGCGTCACTAAGACACTTGATTCCCAACTTCTATGAACACGTCTCCTTTGCCACTAAGGGCGATAAAGTCCTAGACCACTGTTACTCAACCCACAAGCAAGCATACAAGGCCATCCCTTGTCCCCCCTTAGGCAAATCAGATCATGACTCTATACTCATGCTTCCTGTTTACAAACAGAAGCTCAAGCAGGAAGTACCTGTGACGCGTTCCGTAGAGAAATGATCCCCGAAGCGGAAGCTATACTGCAGGACTGCTTTGCTGGAATATGTTTGGGGACTGCGCCGATAGCATCAACAGGCTAACCACCTCAGTCACCGGCTTCATCAGGAAACGCATCACAGACGTTGTCCCCACAGTGAAGGTTCGCTTCTTCCCCAATCAAAAGCCCTGGATTAACACTGAGGTAAGTGCTAAGATAAAGGACAGAGCTATCGCACACACAGGGCTATCGCAGCCAACCCCAGCACTACGGCTGACACGAACGCGTACAAGAAGTTCCACTACGACCGCCGCAAAGCCATCGAACAGGCAAAAGGACATTATAGGAATCTGTTATGAGATCTTGTCATAGTGTTGTGGGAACAAGGTTAAATTAATTAGATAAGTGACTCTTGGTGACACAGAGTCTGAATAACAAGGATTCCAGTATGTCAAGAAAGCTTACTGGTGTTTATCTTAGAATGATTGATAGATGGGATACACTGACTTGGGGTACAAGGTAATACCATCAAAGAAGGGAGTGCCCACTGATGGTTAACGGATGTTGTTGAAGAAACGTGTAGCATGAAGTATATAAATTGAGAGATTTTCTTTGTCTAGTAGTTCGGATGACAAGAGGCAAAGCATGTGCCATTTGTTAGACGAACCCGGTACTGTGTCTATTCAATATTTGTATCAACTCTCCATCTAAGTGTTAAATATCTTCTTGCATCATGAATTACTTGATATCCGAGAAACTCATCATAACAGAATCCTATTACACCGGCTCCAACACTCAACATATGTGGCAGGGGCTACAGTCCATTACGGATTACAAAGGAAGACCTAGCCGTGATCTGCCCAACGATGTCTCTCTACCAGACGAAGTCAATGTATTTTATGCACGCTTCGATAAAAACAACACTGAGTTGTGCATGAGGGCCCCTGCCGTCCCATAGGACTGGGTGATCTCACTCTGAGGCCGACGTGAGTAAAGCTTTTAATCTGGTCAATACTCGCAAGGCCACAGGGCCAGACGGTATTCCAGGGCGCGTTCTCATAGCATGTGCAGACCAGCTGGCAGGCATCTTCACTGTCATTTTCAACCTCTTCTTGTCCCAGTCTGTAATCCCCACATCTCGAGCTGACCACCATCATTCCTGTTCCCAAGAACTCTAAGGCTACCGCCCTGTAGCACTCACATCTGTAATCATAAAACGCTTTGAAAGGCTGGTCATGGCACACATCAACTCCATCATCCCAGACACCTTAGACCAGGGGTCTCCAAAAGGTAGATCACGAGCTACCAGTAGCTCGTAGCCCACCTATGAGTAGCTCACCAATCAATTCTGAAAGTACATGCATTTTTTCATGTGTTCCATTGCAAACTGTCATAAACAAAGCTCCCGGCTACTATCCAATCAAAGACACATTGACATTATCCCACCCCTTGTTAGCCACTATTGTCTTAAAAAGGCAAATGTAACACAATATCTGCCACTTAATTTCCAGCAATATTACCTCCGTCTGTCTGTTTGGTGCGGGCGTTTGTCTATCAGTCTGTATGTAGCCAGTTGCCCCAGTATCTGTGCGTTGGAGACCTCTCTAACGCTCAGGAAGCTCAATAGTAAGTTGAGACCCTGATGGAGTTCCAAAATAATGAAAAATAAGCGACTGCTTATTTTGCTTATGCCGGTAGCCGGCCCTGTGAATGCCAATGCCTCCTCCTCTCTTTCATGTTGGCAAAACGGTCTATGTGTCACGCCCTGGCTCTGGGGACTCTAGTATGTTGAGCCAGGGTGTGAGTTTTCATTTGTGTTACATTCTAGTATTGTTGTTCTATGTTGGCCAGTGTGGTTCTCAATCAGAGGCAACGTGATTCAGCTGTTGCTTGTTGTCTCTGATTGAGAACCATACTTTAGCAGCCTGTTTCCCCACAGAGTTTGTGGGATCTTGTTTCAAGTCTGTTTTTGTTCGACCGTGAACTGTCACGCATCGTTTGTTGTTTTGATCGTGTCTCGAATTAAAAAAGTATGTTTGCCTGCAACGCTGTGCCTTGGTCCTCATCTTTGGTAGACGATCGTGACAGAAGATCCCACCTCGACTGGATCAAGCAGCGTGACGAGGAGAGAGGATGGACTTGGGAGGAGATGAGTGCGAGTCTGGCAAGAGGGATGGAGGCCTTGGCCACGGGTAGGAGTGAAGCCCATACATTTTTTAGGGGGGGGCTAACGCCGTGGACGACGGGGCAGCAGGAGGCCGCCAGGTTACGGGAGTCACTGGTCACCAGGGGGAAGGAGGATGTAGAGGCACGGCGAGAGGTACTGGCGTGTGTTGCCAGTCCGGTCCGGCCTGTTCCTGATCCCCACGTAGGGCCAGTGGTGTGTGTTCCCAGTACGGTCCGGCCTGTTCCTGCCACTCGCACCAAGTCAGTGGTGCGCTTCGTCAGCCCGGCACGGCCCGTTCCTGCTCCCCGCACCAAGTCAGTGGTGCGCGTCGTCAGCCCGGTCCGGCCCATTCCTGCTCCCCGCACCAAGTCAGTGGTGCGTTTCGTCAGCCCAGCTCGGCCCGTTCCTGCTCCCCGCACCAAGTCAGTGGTGCGCTTCGTCAGCCCGGTCCGGCCCGCTCCTGCTCCCCGCACCAAGTCAGTGGTGCGTTTCGTCAGCCCGGCGCGGCCCGCTCCTGCTCCCCACACCAAGCCAGTGGTGTGTGTCGTCTGCCCGGCACGGCCCGTGCCTGTTCCCCACACCAAGTCAGTGGTGCGCGTCGTCAGCCCGGTCCGGCCCATTCCTGCTCCCCGCACCAAGTCAGTGGTGCGTTTCGTCAGCCCAGCTCGGCCCGTTCCTGCTCCCCGCACCAAGTCAGTTGTGCGCTTCGTCAGCCCGGTCCGGCCCGCTCCTGCTCCCCGCACCAAGTCAGTGGTGCGTTTCGTCAGCCCGGCGCGGCCCGCTCCTGCTCCCCACACCAAGCCAGTGGTGTGCGTCGTCTGCCCGGCACGGCCCGTGCCTGTTCCCCACACCAAGCCAGTGGTGTGCGTCGTCAGTCCGGCACGGCCCGTGCCTGTTCCCCACACCAAGCCTGTGGTGTGCGTCGTCAGTCCGGCACGTCCCGTGCCTGTTCCACCGGTGCCTGGTCCGGCACCGGTCAGATGCTTCACGCCGGAGCTAGAGCAACCCGCTCCACCAGTGTGCAGTCCAGCTCCGGCCAGCGGGGCCAGACCGGACCAGGGATACTTTGGGGGGTTGGAGAGGGAGCGGGGATCAGCTCCGGAGCCGGATCCGCCGCCTAGGCGGAGTGCCCACCCGGTCCCTCCCCTGTGGTGTTTGGTTGGCGCGGTCGGAGTCCGCGCCTTTAGGGGGGGGTACTGTCACGCCCTGGCTCTGGGGACTCTAGTATGTTGAGCCAGGGTGTGAGTTTTCATTTGTGTTACATTCTAGTATTGTTGTTCTATGTTGGCCAGTGTGGTTCTCAATCAGAGGCAACGTGATTCAGCTGTTGCTTGTTGTCTCTGATTGAGAACCATACTTTAGCAGCCTGTTTCCCCACAGAGTTTGTGGGATCTTGTTTCAAGTCTGTTTTTGTTCGACCGTGAACTGTCACGCATCGTTTGTTGTTTTGATCGTGTCTCGAATTAAAAAAGTATGTTTGCCTGCAACGCTGCGCCTTGGTCCTCATCTTTGGTAGACGATCGTGACACTATGACTGTCAGTACACACTGTTCGTTTTTGATGTCCGAGACTATGCTACCTGGCTAAAATGCTTGCTAGCCTAACTTCCTCGCAGGGGCAACAATGAACTAGCTAAGTTAGCTAGGTAACGTGAGCCAATTTAGCTAGCTAGCTACTGCAGGAGGACAACAACATGTCACAAGCAAACGAGAAACAGACTTTTTTCGGACAATTACGTTTTCCTTTTGATGTGATTTGATTGGTGTGATGGCAAATCCAAACTGGCCTGATTGGCTGATTACTTAAATAAAGAAATATAAACGGAGGCCAAATATTCACTGCAATCAATCAATCAAATGCTATGGCGGCAACATGTCATGCTCTTTTTGTCCAGACAGCATCAGATACATGGGCTACACATACTGAGATAGAGGTGCGCCTTTTCCCTCTCGGATGATTTCTCCAATGCGATAGATACAGCCACTTGCGAATTGAAGGAAAATGATTAAAACCACAGAGAGACGAAAGAGAAATTGTTTCATAATGTGTATTGGTCATCCATGAATATATGCCATTGCTGACGACACGACGGTGGTGGGCCTGATCACCAATGGCGTTGAGACAGCCTACAGGGAAGAGGTCAGATACCTGGCAGTGTGGTGGGGGACACCCTATCCACATCAACGGGGCCGCAGTGGAGAGGGTCAAGAGCTTCAAGTTCCTCGGTGTCCACATGATCCTCTCACACCAGCACAGTCGTGAAGAAGGAACGGCAGCGCCTCTTCTCCCTCAGGAGGCTGAAACGATTTGGCATGGCCCCAAAGATCCTCAAGAACGTTTACAGCTGCACCTTCGAGAGCATCCTGACTGGTTGTATCACCGTCTGGTATGCAACTGCACTGCCCTGGACCAGAAGGCCCTACAGAGGGTGGTGCAGACTGCCCAGCGCATCACTGGGGGCGAGCTCCCAGCCATCCAAGACATACATGCCAGGTGGTGTCTGAGAAAGGCCCAGAAAATTGCCAAAGACTCCAGCCACCCGAGACATGGACTGTTCAGGCGGTAACGGTGCATCAAGGCTCAGACCAACAGACTCCTAAACAGCCATTAGACTGTTAAATGGCTAACAACTACTGCACTCCCTCTCCCACAGACTGTCCACACTGACTCTATGCCCATCCACAGGTCATTACCCACTCAGACACACACACCTTCACTGTCAGTATTACTCACATGCGCACACACACACACCCATTACTGACGCCACACACTTGCACCCACACACTCTCCCTCACACCTACGCTGCTGCTAAAATGATTATTGATTAGATTTATTACTACCATTATGCTGCTGTTAATTGATTACTGATTGCCATTACCATTAGTTTTTATCCTGCTACTGGTCACAATTACTCCTGTTCACATGTATATATATCACCATTAGTATATTACCATAAGTATTTTTATATTCCTGCTACCAGTCACTTTTGAGCCCTGTTTACATGTACAGTGCCTTCCGAAAGTATTAATACCCCTTGACTTATTCCACATTGTGTTGTGTTACAGCCTGAATAAAAATGGTATTAAATATATTTTTTTTCCTCACCCATCTACACACACAATACCCCATAATGACAAAGTGAAAACATGTTTTTAGAAATGTTAGCAAATTTAGTGAAAATGAAATGCAGTCTTTCTGGGTATGTCTAAGAGCTTTCCAACATTTGCCCATTATTTTCATAATTCTTCAAGCTCTGTCAAACTGGTTGTTGATCATTGCTAGACAACCATTTTCAGGTCTTGCAATAGATTTTCAAGTCGATTTAAGTCAAAACTGTAACTCGGCCACTCAGGAACATTCACTGTCTTCTTGGTAAGCAACTCCAGTGTAGATTTGCCCTTGTGTTTTAGGTTATTGTCCTGCTGAAAGGTGAATTAATCTCCCAGTGTCTGGTGGAAGCAGACTGAACCAGCACTGACGAAGGCCTGGTGGCCGATACCTAAAGCTTATTAAAGAGCAGTGATACTAGCAAGAGCAGTGTGCCGGTTTCTTATTTTTTCTCATCTTATTCAACTGTTACCATGCACCTGCAAAAAAGATACCTCAGATGTGCAGGTGCCTTTTGAACTACAATATTGATGATCCGTCCTCAGTTTTTTCCTATCACAGCCATTAAACTCTAACTGTTTTAATGTCACCATTGGCCTTATGGGGAAATCCCAGAGCGGTTTCCTTCCTCTCCGGCAACGGAGTTAGGAAGGACGCCTGTATCTTTGTAGTGACTGGGTGTATTGATACACCATTCAAAGTGTAATTAATAACTTCACCATGCTCAAAGGGGTATTCAATTTTTCTTCCACTTTGACATTAGAGTATTTTGTGTAGATCGTTGACAAAAAAATGACAATTTAATCTATTTTTATTTAACTTTGTAACACAAAAAACATGGAAAAGTTCAAGGGGTGTGAATACTTTCTGACGGCACTGTACTTGCATTCTTGTGTTCAACTTACATCATACTTGTGTTTTTTTATTCAATTTTCTATCATCTATATTATTATTGCTGCATTGTTGGGAAATAGCTCTCAAGTAAGAATATCACTATACTGTTTTACACTGGTTGTGCACGTGGTTTTTACATTAAAACTGTTTTGTATTGCAGAGTTTGCCTCTTATCAGCCGCTGATGTTTGAGTCCATTTCAGTGGAGTCCTTTACCTTTGGCATGGATACATTTGTTGTGTTTGCCCAGCCCTTTACTGGAACGTGCATTTTCCTGGAATGGGATCATGTTGAAAATGTTTTCAGAACCTATGACAGCATTCAAAGTGAGCAATGTTTGTTTTATATCACTAGATGTCTAAATGATATTTCATGTGTGAATAAAGTGTCATACTATATCTTGTGGATCCCAAAATGTATAGTTGCATGTATTTAGTGTTTCTCACAAATATTCACTTTATGTTCCTATGTTCTAATACTTTGTTTTTGGTCATTGTTTTACAGGTACATCTACTGTAGTATGCAAACCCATGGTGATTGATAATCAGCTGTTCATATTTGTAGCCCAGCTTTTTGGTGGCTCTCACATTTACAAGCGGGACATCTCAGCCAACAAATTCATCAAAATCCAGGATATTGACATCCTGAAAATCAGGAAACCTAATGACATTGAGACTTTCCTCATAGACGGTGAGTCCTTCTTCGTGATCGCAGACAGCTCCAAGGCCGGTTCTACCACAGTGTACAAGTGGAACGGCAATGGGTTCTACCCTAACCAGTCCCTCCATCTCTGGTATCGTGACACAGACGTGGAGTACCTAGAGATCTCTGGTAAGCCCCATCTCATCATAGCCAGCAGTTCCCAGAGGCCTGTCGTCTACCAGTGGAGCAAGAGTCTGAAGCAGTTCGACAGGCGCACTGATATCCCCGAAATGGAGGACGTGTTTGCGGTCAAGCACTTCAAGTTGAAGAGTGAACTTTTCATCTGCCTGACGCGTTTTATCGGGGACTCCAAGGTGATGAGGTGGGACGGCGCCATGTTCAAAGAGGTACAGACAATGCCTTCGCGGGGCTCCATGGTGTTCCAGCCAGTCTCCATCGGCAACTGGCAGTACGCCATCCTCGGCAGCGACTACTCCTTCACGCAGGTCTATCAGTGGGATTTGAAGAGAGGCCAATTTGTTCACTTCCAGGACCTGAACATCCAGGCGCCAAGGGCATTCTCTCTGGTGTCCATTGACAACAGAGAGTTTCTGCTGGCCTCCAGCTTCAGAGGGAAAACTCAGATATACGAGCACCTAATGATTGACCTGAGTAATAATTAATTAATGAAAACAATTAAGGAGTGTGTAGATGATAAATGCAGTAGCACTGAACACTGGAGGGGATGACTATACTGGATTCCTGATGAATGCCTTGCTAGAAACACCTACTGTATCCCTTTCTTTCACAGCACTCTCCTATTTTCTTCCTCGTAGACAATGCAATTGTTGATTTACAGCAACTATGCACTACACTACAGTAATACCTGTGCTTTAGATAAACTTAAGAGGTAAAAGCAAATAATGAGAATACATTAAAATGTAATTCAAATGTTAAATCTAACATTTAATTGACAATTTTCCAAATAAAATGTTTACATTTTTATAACGAGTCAAATAATTTATACGAGACAGCATTTTGTATGTAGAGGGGACCACTCCAATCATGTTATGTCTTTCATATGGAGCTAGTTTTAGATTTTGAAATTACATTTTGAATTTAACCTAATGTAGGCCAAGCTATGTAACTGCAATACTACAAACAACTTGTATTCTAACCTGTAGTAAGTGTATTTTGTTTTTAATTTAGCTATATTTTATGTATAGTAGGCTAGTAATAAACACATTTCATAAAACCATAAATGTGTTGTCTTCATGTCCTTGTTTAATAAACACCACAATTGCATTAGCCTACACCAATGGCGGCTGGTGGGAGGAGCTATAGGAGGACGGGCTCATTATAATGGCTGGAATGGAATTAATGGAACAGTGTCAAACATATGGAAACCACGTTTGACCCCATTCCAAATATTCCATTCCGGTCATTTCCAATGAGCCCTTAATATAATATGCCATTTAGCAGACGCTTTTATCCAAAGCGACTTACAGTCATGTGTGCATACATTTTTGTGTATGGGTGGTCCCGGGGATCGAACCCACTACCTTGGTGTTACAAGCGCCGTGCTCTACCAGCTGAGCTACAGAGGACCACTTCCTCCTATAGCTCCTCCCACCAGCCGCCATTGGCCTACACATATTCAAATCTTGATCATTCTATAACAAGAATGACACTAGATAAGTACCCCAATAATGTCCACTATTATTTCAGATTTTTTGAATAAGGTGAAGGTTGAAAAATTCGTTGAACTATTACTGAACTTAGGGTAACGTTTTTGTTGGCCAACTGGATTGCCCGTTACCGGTATGTTGTTTACTTGAGCGCGGTTATGGCTAGAAGGGCACCAGCTTTTGTCAAATGAACGTCAAAAGTGTATTAATTCTTTAGCATTTTAGCTACCTCTAACTCTTTTCCTAATTCTCCTAACCTACTACGAAAAGTCAAATCTGAGGTTAATTTGACAAATGCTGGATCCCTTCTAGCCATGACCATGGAGAGCTGCCCACTGGAGCTGCCCCCCGTGGTTAAAGTAACTATTACATGCTACTACAGTGGCCACTAAGGTTACATATTAAACTGGTGTGACAACTCACTCACTCTCAGGCAGAGAAAGGTGTCAAATACATCCAAGGCATGCTCATCTGTTGCAGTTGCATTTTACAATGGGGGATTTGAAGGACAGTAATAGCATAGACGACCGAGTTCTATCGGCCGTTCCCCGTAGAGAGGAGGACGTTAAAGTTGTATTTCACAAAGTTGGCGATAACGACGACGATGGAGACACTACTGAGAGGATTAATTTACAAAGTAACAGTCATGATGAGCTGGGGAATGAGGAGGCAAGGACTAGAACAGTGGAAAGCAGTGCGAAGCAAAGATTATGTCCTCCCTCGTGTTGTAGAATTGGCGGCGGCGGGGATCCCATCTCAACGGACGCAGGAGACACAGTTGCCAAAGGTAGCCTTCAAACTAAAACTAGAGATAATTTATATAATTTAGCTAGCTATCTTTAAAGATCTACCAACGTAACCACTTGAACACACTTATTTGTGGTTTATTAATACAGTCCATTATATGACTGGATCTGCTTCCATAATATAATATAATATAATATAATATGCCATTTAGCAGATCTAGGAAAAGTTGTATGACCTTTGAGGTACATGAGAAATTATAACCAGCGGAGTAGCCAATGACAACATCCATAGCAGCACATTATGTAACGGACGTAATCGCGGTTCTCAAATTACTGTACTGGTAATAAATATTGCCTCACAAACTCTTTCAGATTAAACTAGCTAATAGCCTATATTGCAACATTGTGGCCGCTTCACCCCCACTTTCATCAGTCTGATTATGAATTATTGAATGGCAATCCGGTTAAACATTTTCATCATCTTTAAAAGGGGATGACGAGGCATTTTCCCACCAGGAAAAATTATAATATGTAGCTCTAACTGCTAATTATTTTAAAATTATGTTAAACTCACGTCTAATTTAAAAGGGCAGGGAGGGGTCTCCAACCTTTTCTATCATTTTCTATCACCTTTTGTACTGAAAACAAAGTGTTGCGAGCTATTTACATTATATATATATATATATATATATATATATATATATATATTCATATATATATATATATAACTTTCAAATAGAAACATTATTGTCTTCTCCTCTACCCTGCAACTCTTCCCCGGGTACTTGGTGTAGGCAACCAGAGGTGCTTTCTGTTATACCTGGTAAGATACACTGAGTGTACAAAACATTATGGACACCTGCTCTTTCCATGACAGACAGACCAGGTGAATCCAGGTGAAAGCTATGATCACTTATTGATGTCACTTGTTAAATCCACTTCAATCTGTGTAGATGAAGGGGAGGAGACAGGTTAAAGCAGCATTTTTAAAAATCTTCAAGCTCTGTCAAATTGGTTGTTGATGCCAAGAGTGTGCAAAGCTGTCATCAAGGCGGCAGGTAGCTTTCTACAATGTAGAAAATAGTAAAAAATAAAGAAAAACCCTGGAATGATTAGGTGTGTCCAAACTTTTGACTGGTACTGTATGTAAATCACTTATTACTGCCACGCACAGATCGGAAGTCTACAACAGTTCAATACATTGGTGGTGCCGAAGAGGCATTTTTTCGGTTGCTTGTACATTTTAATTTAGACCTTTTTTGGATGTACATACTGGCCGTAACGGGAGTAAATGAAGATAGTTGCTCAGCGAAAGTCCGTATTTGGTGAGTAATGAACGTATTTTGACATACCGCTTGCAGAGCTGGGGAATGGGAGTTTGAATCTGAGCATCCTGGGCGTTAGAGAGGTCTCTAAGACAGAGACACTGGGGCAACTGAACTGGCTTCATACAAAATAGCCAGCTATACAGCCTAGATTGACAAAAGCGCGCACCAAACAGACAGGAAATTAATTGGCAGATTGTGTTACTTTTGGCTTTTTAAGCCAATAGTGGCTAACCAGGGATATTGTCAATGTGGCTTTGATTGGATAGTAGCCGGGAGCTTTATATTTATGACAGTTTGTGATGGAACACATGAAAAAAATTCATGTACTTTCAGAATAGATTGGAGAGCTACTGATAGGTGCACTGCAAGCTACGGGTAGCTCGCAATCTACCTGTTGGAGACCCCTGATTTAAGGTATGAGTACAAAATGGGAAAGAATGAGCACCTACAGTACCCCACAGGGTGTAAATCAAACTCACCAGGAAGTCCAACAATGGTGTTGTCTGTTCTCAGATGAGTAATATACTTCTGCATCCTTCCAAACTGTTTTCCATATGGCTAGTCAGTACAGGCTAAAATGTCCCCTTATTCTTCCTGTTCAATTTGAGTCTCCCTCCAGTTAGGGGACATTGGTTCATTGCCCTCTTTCTATGTTGGCAATAAACATGAGTACTCAGTAGGTACAGTGTGTGACAGGCCAACTCCCAGGTAGATATATATCTAATAATATTCAACACCTGAAATCACCCTGCAGCTTTGAATTTGTCAAAAAAGTTGCCAGTAACTGTAAGCTTTAGCAGGGATTCCCTTCAACAAAGTGGCTTTTGATATCACATTTAAAAACTGTACCTCTTCCCCCTCCCATTTCGCCATTTCAGACAAATATTCAATGACTTCACTCTTAGTAGGTTAATGTTCAGTTCCATTCAAGCTATTTTAACCAGTTCATGTGTCCTCCTCCCTATGTCCTCAGAGAAGAAGCGTTGTCCAGGACTGGGCCTGTTTTATGGCCTGCTGGCAACAGTATTCTTCTCCGTTATAGCTCTTCTGGTGAAGACAATAGATGGAGTCCATGCTGTAGAAATCAGTGCCATTCGCTGCTTCTTCCAGATGCTGTTTGTGATGCCTATGCTGATCTATTACAAGTAAGTTATTACAAAACTGTATTTATACTATATTGGACCACTTGACCCCTTGAACCTTGATAATCCCATACAAATATTTAACCTATCCATTTTCTGTTTTTCAGGACTGGCTTCCTTGGACCAAGAGACAAGCGGATCTATTTGGTGATGAGAGGGTTCTTGGGTTCCAACGCCATGATCCTATTGTTTTATGCAGTGCAGCAGATGCCCCTGGCTGATGCAACAGTCATCATGTTCAGCAACCCAGTGTTCACCGCCTTGTTAGCCTGGATCTTCCTCAAAGAGAAATGCACTATCTGGGACTGTATCTTCACTGTCTTCACCCTGGCCGGTGTCATAATGATAGCCAGGCCTCCCTTCATATTTGGTGCTCGTATAGAGGGAATAGAGGGAGACTACACCAATCATCTCAAGGGGACTATTGCAGCCTTCGGTGGAGCGATAGGACCAGCCTGCACTTTCGTTATACTCAGGAAAATGGGCAAAAGTGTCCACTACTATATGTCTGTGTGGTACTATGCAGTCATTGGTTTAATTGAGTGTGTCATCACTTTGTTTATACTTGGTGAATGGACCATTCCATTCTGTGGGAGAGACAGGTGGATCCTTATGCTGATAGCAATCCTGGGTATTGCTGGCCAAACTTTCCTCACCAAAGCTCTTCAGATCGAGAAGGCCGGCCCTGTGGCCTTGACGAGGACCATTGATGTGGTCCTGGCTTTTATTTTCCAGTTCTTTTTTTTCAACCGTAAGCCCACCATGTGGAGTCTCGGTGGGGCATGTTGTGTGGTCGTCAGTACCTGTGGTGTGGCTCTAAGGAAGTGGTACAGCAACACACACCCAAGAAAGAGCCGTGAACAGACAAATATTTTTTTCCAGGAATAAATGAAAGGTTATCAATTAATATGATGTTAATGTTCAGCAGACAAGAGTGTTATGTAAACCAAATAAGCAATATTACATCCAAATGTTACTGTGAGGTTTTCAACACAAAACTGGACACGTTTTTTTTTTTTATATATCTACACACTTAGAAAAGAGGGTTCTTTGGTAAGGGTGATTGTTCTATGTGGAACCATAAGGACTCAAAGAACCTTTTGAGCTCTTCAATGGTTATTTGCTGTTCAGAAAAGGGTGCTTTAATCTTTTAGTGATAATTAAAATGTAGGGGAGGCGGCTCATTCAAATATTTTGGCCGTGGTTTGCTCACAGCTCTTTTTGTGCAACTGTGAGTGAATGTCATTCCAGTTGATATCATCTGTTGTGTTATGTAATTCCATGTTAAATATGACTATGGCCAGTAATAGTGTCTTGTGAGAGACTCATGTAAGGCCTCGTGTCAATTGAGAACGGTTGACTAAATCTCAATTCTCTCCTCAGGGACCCCCAGCTGTTCCAGAGCTATAGCACACCTGATTCAACTTGTTAATAAACACAATAATAACACCCATGTAATTTTAAAGATAATATAATATGGCTAACCCCAATTTAAAGGGTTCTTTATAGCACCATAAAGGTTCCATTTAGAACCTTATGAGCATGGTTCTTTATAGAACCTTCAAAAGGGGTTCCGCTATGGTTACAAGCCAAATGACCCTTTAGAAAGTATTCATACCCCTTGACTTATTCCACATTTTGTTGTGTTACAGCCTGAATTCAAAATCGATACCACATAATGGCAACGTAAAAACATGTTTTTATAAATATTTGCAAATGTATTGAAAATGAAATATATAAATAACTCATTTACATAAGTATTCACACCCCTTTGCTATGACACTACAAATTGAGCTCAGGTGCATCCAATTTCCTTTGATCATCCTTGAGATGTCACTACAACTTGCATGTCAGAGCAGAAACTATACCATAAAGTCAAAGGAACTGTCCATAGATCTCCGAGATAGAATTGTGATGAGGCATATATCTGGGGAAGGGTATAAAACAATTTCTAGAGTGTTGAAAGTTTCCAAGAGCACAGTGGTCTCCATCATTGGGAAATTGAAAAAATATGGAACTACCCAGACTCTGCCTAGAGCTGGCCGGCCGACTAAACTGAGCAACCTGGCAAGAAGGACCTTGGCCAATGATTATTGTGACAGAACTACAGAGTTCCTTGGCTGAGATGGGAGAACCTGCCAGAAGGACAACAGTCTCTACAGCATTTCACAAATCTGGGCTTTATGGGAGAGTGGCCAGACTGAAGCCACTCCTGAGAAAAAGGCACATGACCGCACACCTGGAGTTTGCCAAAAAGGCAAGTGAAAGACTCAGAGCATAAGGCAAAAATATTATGTGGTCTAATGAGACAAAAATGTGACACTTTGGCCTAAATGCAAAGCACTATGATTGGAAAAAAACAGCCACAGCTCATCAACCATTTAACACCATCCCTACCGTGAAGCATGGCGGTGGCAGCATCATGCTATGGTGATGCTTTTCAGCGGCTGGGACTGGGAGACTGGTAAGGATAGAGGGAACAATGAATGGCGCCAAATACAGGCAAATCCTTGATGGGAACCTGCTTCAAAGTGCAAATGACAGACTGGGGCAAAGATTTACATTCCAACAGGACAATGACCCCAATCATACAGCCAAAGCAACGCTGAAATGGCTTCAGAACAAGAATGTGAAAGTCATTGAGTGGCCCAGCTAAAGGCCAGACTAGAATCCCATTGAAAATCTGTTGAAAGACTTGAAGATTGCTGTACACCGCCGCTCTCCATCTAACTTAACAGCTTGTGAAAATCTGCACGGAAGAATGGGAGAAAATCCCCAAATCCAGATGTGCAAAGCTGACTCAGGTGTGAATACTTATGTAAATGAGATCTTTCTGTATTTCATTTTCAATACATTTGCAAAAGTTCTAAAAACAAGTTTTCACGTTGTCAATATTGGATATAGTGTGCAGAGGGGTGAGAAAAAATATCAATTTAATTCATTTTGAATTCAGGCTGTAACACAACAAAATGTGGAATAGGTCAAGGGGTGTGAATACTTTCTGAAGGCACTGTAGAACTATTTTTTTTGAGTACTGAAAAGCAAAGCTGATATCCTTTATTTAAATACACTGCTGGTCAGAATAGTTTTTTGTGGAAATATAAAAAGTGTGACATTATTTCTTACAAAATGCAAAGATTTTTAAAAGATTTGCTTTGTGCAATGTGTCACAGATTGCTGGATAGCAATAATATTCTGTTGACCCAACGTGTAAGCAGCATAATCAGATGACTTTATGCATCTCACATTTATCCTGCCTAGTTAAATAGTATAATATGATGGGAACTTGATATTTACAGTACAAATAGCTTTATGACAGTATACCACAGAAAACAACTTGTTGCCTTCCTTTTGAAATTTGTACTAGTAATTTAGAACTAAGCACTTGACTTTGCACATTTCTGTTACATGCAGTGTCAGTTATGATGCTTTGTATAAGTTTTATACTCCTTGTTGTTATCTCGTTGTGACTGCTGTTTTATAGTATTTAATTCTTTATCAATAGAAATCAAATACATATTTATGCTTTATCAAAAGCACTTTCTCAGACTGATTGAATGTCTGACTTGTTTATCAAATGTGGCAAAAATGCTTCTTAACATTAACTGTGTTCAATCATTTTCTTGTAGGTCTACATAAGTTGGTTAGAACAACAGTATGAACAATTTAAATGAACCATTTAATTATTCAATGTAATTCTGAGCCTACTGTGCCCTTCCCTTTCATATATTGTTTATATAACTTGAAGTTACTTAACCGTTTATGTGACCATATTTCACTATGTCTTTGTCCTCAATTAAGGTGGACACAGAGACATACAGTATATCTAAACCTTTGTGTGGTTCATGTTTGATGTTATTTGATTGATACTGATTTGATTGAAACTGAAAAGTTGGATGCACTTGCACAAAGGAGAACATAAAATATTTTAGTTTTTAACTTATTTTCTGACTGTTGAATAGAATGTTACTACCTTCATGCCTTACTAAATCCTTTCTCAACTATGTAATTATATTATATTACTATTTCAGATTTTTTTATTAGAATTAAAGATTATTCTAAAAGTTGTATATTTATACACAATGCAGGATGTCATTTTTTATTCTAAAATAAATTACATATACATTTCACCTATTTGTCTTGATCTCTTGAACTAAGGAAGTTTTACGTTTTCTATTTGATCATACATTAGCATGGCTGCAATTCCTGTTGTGATTTAACAGATCTGACAGAATGATGTTTACTCCAATGTTGCACAGTTGTTCCAACCTGGCTAAACGAAGTACTCAGTTATGAACAATGGTAGAAACAAGACTACACTATAGCTTTTCACAAAACACTGAGTCAGAGCCTTTTAGATTAGTACCTCTAGGGGAAACCATTGTCATGTTACCCTGTGTTTGAGGTTTTAGACTTTGCCATGACCTTTCCACGGTTTTCTCTTAACCCTTCATTGAACAACAAAGCTTGTGCATTGTGGTATTGTAACATGATACAGTATATATTATTTTCTGTGTAACCCATGTATAAAATGTGTAGCCAGCAGATGGCAGAAGGAACTTTAAAATCATGCAATGTGTTCAGACCAATGATGTATATAAACCCTGGATTGCAGATACTATGTATTGGCCAATGAGAGGCTTTGAAGCCACCGGTCGGCCATATTGGCACACCTCAGAAGAAGCAGTCCTCCATAGGAATTCAGGGAATTCTACAGCATTTCAATTCAATGTTTCAAGTGTTACAAAACCCATAACTAGCCTACGGATATTGTTGCACACACTTTGTCTAGGGGTCCTAGGTCTAGTTACATGGTCTGTAACCTGAATGAATGTGTGCATAAATGTGAGAAGTCAGCGTATGCGACCAGGTGTTGAATGTACATGTGCCCAGGGAGACAGCAACCTTACCTTAGGTCCAGGGCCAGCTCTGTCTTGACCTCTTGGACGTCCAAGCGGATTATTAGTTGTTCAGATGGTGCCGAAAATAAACATACATGGATCTGGGGACCCATGCCAAATCTTTTCAGTCTCCTGAGGGGAAAAGGTGTTGTCGTGCCCTCTTCACAACTGTCTTGGTGTGTTTGGACCATGATAGTTTGTTGGTGATGTGAACACCAAGGAACTTGAAACTCTCGACCCGCTCCACTACAGCCCCGTCGATGTTATTGGGGGCCTGTTCGGTCCGCCTTCTCCTGTAGTCCACAATCAGCTCCTTTGTCTTGCCCACATTGAGGGAAAGGTTGTTGTCCTGGCACCACACTGCCAGGTGTCTGACCTCCTCCCTATAAGCTGTCTCATAATTGTCGGTGATCAGGCCTACCACTGTTGTGTCGTCAGCAAACTTAATGATGGTGTTGGAGTCGTGTTTGGCCATGCAGTCGTAAAGTAACTGCCCAGTGAAAATCTCACTTTTAAAAGTTAATATTCTGCTAACTCATATCCAAATAATGTTTTTGACTCCCTGCTGATTTTGTATGTTTGCCCACTGACAAAGAAATGATCAGTCTATAATTTTAATGGTAGGTTTATTTGAACAGTGAGAGAATAACAACAACAAAATCCAGAAAAACGCATGTAAAAAATGAGGGAAATAAGTATTTGACCCCCTCTCAATCAGAAAGATCCAGGCTCCCAGGTGGATGTCAGGGACAAGATTGTAGACCTACACAAGGCTGGAATGGGCTACAAGACCATCGCCAAGCAGCTTGGTGAGAAGGTGACAACAGTTGGTGCGATTATTCGCAAATGGAAGAAACACAAAATACCTGTCAATCTCCCTTGGCCTGGGGCTCCATGCAAGATCTCACCTCGTGGAGTTGCAATGATCATGAGAACGGTGAGGAATCAGCCCAGAACTACACGGGAGGATCTTGTCAATGATCTCAA